TCCTTATTTCATACAACGGTGCGATCAAACTTTTAGTTATGGAATTACTTCTCTTTTGGGTGGGGTTGTGTGTAGGTGGTATGCAGAAGGAAACACACTTTAAATTATAGAAGGGGTAATACAACATTTCTATTAGCTGCTATTTTTATGCCTATTACAAACCGTTTCCAGTCATGTCTCATGAGAACAGCATGTAAGTGCAGTAAAAACTGTCTGTTGATGTAAGAATGGAATGTTGCCATAACTGGATGGCAAATAAATATGGCAAGGGGCAACCTCTTCTTGCTTATTTGGTGTTCCATGATAAAACTTGGAAATATGTTTGTCTCTCTCAGTAAACAGTTTGCTTATGTGCTGTATATACACTGTGCTCAAAGCTGCTGACAGAAAGCAGACAAATACAATGAGCACAGTATTTTAGATACTGTTTTTAGGCCACCTTTCATTCCATAGAATCCATGGGCAGTGTATACAAGATACAAAAACAATGCAACATTAAAACATGAACATTGCAAACAGGACACTAAATTCAGCAGCAGTCATAAAATAAAAGTGAAGCTTTAGATGTAATTCAGATGCCTGGGTAAAAACAGAAATGCGTCTTTAACTCATGCTGGAGAATTGGCAAAGAGGGAGGCAGCCGCATTTCAAACAGGTAGTTTCACAAGCAGGTGCCACCACAGAGAAGGCCTTCTCCTGTGTCGCTACACAATGGACTTCACCCTGAGAAGAGACAACTCATCAGATATCAGTGCTTCAGTTAGCAGATATGGGAAGAGACATTCCTTCATGTATTTGGTCCCAAGTCTTGTCAGGATTCAGCTTCAGTTCATTGGCTCTCATCTAACACCTGTACAGCTTCTCCTGATATTAAGATCATGTTGGGTGTTGGTAACATATTGATGAACTTATACTTCAAATCCCTGAATGACTTCACCTGGTGGCTTTGTACAGATACTAAACAGCATGGGGGACAAGAGGTAACACTCTGGATTCCACACCATAAAAACCATGGAGTTGAGCAGCAGTTTCACAATGCTACTCTCTGGTTGCAGTCCTACAGAGAGGGTCAAGTCTCTCAACCCACAGAGCTGCCTCAGGAGGATACAGTGGTCAGTGGTTTTAAATGTCATGAAGAGATCCAGGAGACTCAACAAAGGTTGCACTCCTCCCATCTGTCTCCCAGAACACTTCATGAATTAAACCCAGATTAAAGTGAGCCTAGATATTCAATTTTTTCTACCGCCCCTCCCACAGAGAGGCATCTCCCCCACCCCCAGGCTCACAATAGCCATATTAAACATTAGAATACCGACAATATAATATGGACAATTGGAACATAAAAAATCAAATTCATCAATTTGTATTAAGAGGTCTAAGGGTAAGATGTATATCCCAGATTGCAGCAAAAGAAAAAGATAAGACAGACAAAATTGAATGAATGAGCCTCCAACCCTAGCAAACTGATGGATCATCGTAATTTTTTTCTGGGACAATTGTACCAAGGAATGTAATTGAACATCTATGCTATAAAAAATAAAATCAAATGTGAATATGACAAGCTAAATGTAAGAACTTGCAATCCCAGTCCTTCCTTATCCTACTTCTCAGCGGGATGTTGGAGAAACTTCTAAAAATTGATTAATACAGCACCTCTAATATGCTGCAACTTGCATACCTTCCAGCTATTACTTCCTCTCATTTTTAATGCATGTTTTGCTAGATAATTTTAGAAAGAAATAATCATATTCAAGGGCGTAGTGGGTCCTTCTGTTGCTTTTTGTTGGACTTCTGTGTTGATGGTTCCTGGTTCACAGTTAACTGTAATCGGTTTACTGCTGTTAAAAAGCTAAATATCTCAAGTAGACAATCTTCAGTAGAAGCTTTTGAGTCTTGTGCTACTGTCAAACGTACCATGTCGCTGGCTGGTTCCCTACAGCAAAATGCTTGAAAATGGTTGTCTTTATTGGGGGAAGGATCATAGCTTAGTGGTTGAGCATCTCCTTTGCATGCAGAAGGTCCCAGATTCAATCATTGGCATCTCCAGGTAGGGCTGGGGAAGACTCGCTGCCTGAAGCCCCAGAGAGCTGCTGGTGCTCAATATTGGCAGTACTGAGCTAGATGGACCCAGTGGTTTGATTCTGTACTAGCAGGTTCCTGTCTTTCTAGGACAAGCCTACAGACTTGCTGATAGAAAACTTATAGTAAGGAACTTCCCTCTGTCCCATTCACTGAATGGATTTAAAATGAGGAGTACTGAAGTTGCACACAGGCCACAACGTTCTACTTCCTGTTGGTGCGGATAAACTTGCTTCAGTGTATAGACTTGCTATACGCTAAACATGTTGCCATTTATGGCATACAATCCAGCTAATAAACGCTGGAATAATAAATATGGGGAAGATTAGCACAATAGCTTGGGAACGTAACCCTGCAGAAACATTCTTTCAGCAAGAATGTTTGAGATGTGCAAGTTGCTGTGAAATCTGGAATAAAGCAGCTAGATTGAGCGAAACTAGAAATGTTGAACCCTAAAAAGATGGAGATTCTTGGAAGTTGCGGAGTTTGGAGGAACTAAAAGATAAAGTGCGGGATTGGTTACATTATGCTCAGATTAAAGAAGTTTATAAGTTGGATAAAAAGATAGGATTCCAGGTGGAAAAATCGAAGCTAGAAACAGAACTGCTAGAATCTAAAACTAAGGTTCTTTCAAAAATGTATAACTTGCTGCTGAAAATGGAATACACAAGATGAAACGGTTAAATCAGCCATGATAAAGTGGGCACAGGACATTGGGTACAACATTATGTTTGCTGACTGGGAAAAGTTATGGACCACTGGTGTGAAGTTTACGGCATGTAATGCCCTAAAAGAAAATATTATGAAAATGATATACAGGTGGTACATGACCCCAGTCAAGCTTGCAAAAATATATCACTTGCCTGACAATAAATGTTGGAAATGTAGAGAAACTGAAGGAACATTCTTTCACCTCTGGTGGACTTGCCCTAGGATTAAGGCTTTCTGGGAAATGATATATAACGAGCTGAAAAAGGTATTTAAATATACCTTCCTTAAGAAACCAGAGGCCTTCCTTTTGGGCATAGTTGGTCAGAGGGTGCTAAAGAAGGATCTAACATTTTTTATGTATGCAACAACAGCAGCAAGGATACTTATAGCTAAGCACTGGAAAACCCAAGATTTGCCCACGCTGGAAGAATGGCAGATGCAACTGATAGACTATATGGAATTAGCAGAAATGACTGGCAGAATCCGCGACCTGGGAGAAGAAACTGTGGAAGAGGATTGGAAGAAATTCAAGGATTACCTACAAAAACATTGCAAATTGTATGAGTGTTAAGAAAGATGCAAGAATAAAAATAAATGTGGCTTCAGTAATGTTAGTTGAAAGGAATTTGAGAATAGGTGAAATTTCAGAAAAAGTTAAACTTGGAGTTAATATTATGCCTAAATTAAATATTTAAGTTTTTGGTTAATGTAGTTAAAATTAATGACATAATATTGGAATATTACAAAATAACTATTGAAACAAGGTGATAATTTGCTGTTTAGAACTTTATAAAATTGGAATGCAGGAACGAGAGACGTGAGGAAGTCTAAAAAGGTGATGAAAGTATGGATACTGATTTTGATGTTGTTTTATGTTTTTCTTCTTTGTGTGTTTTTCTTTGTTTATTGTACCATGGGGATGGGTTTATATGTGTTGGGTGAAAATGTTTAAAATCTTGAATAAAATATTTATAAAAAAAAAAATAGAAATGTTGAACCCTGCTTCAATATTGGGGGAATTGGTACCATGTGATATAGTGTATAACGGAGGGCTTCCATGCCAGAGATGCCAGTGGCTCTGAGTCAACATATGTTAACAAACTGCTCTGGTAACTAGGAATCTATTTCCAGAGAGGTGGGTGTGTTGAGGCTGTGTTGAAGCAAAAACAGAATATTGTGGTACCTTAAATAAACAACATGTTAAAAGATTTAACAAATGAATTGTGTCATCATCTTTCATGGTCTCGCATCCACTTCACCGGCGAAGAGCACGAGAAGAGCTCTGCTGGATCACACCAAAAGCCCATCTAGCCCTCCAACCTGTTCTCACAGTGACCTACCAGTTGCTTATGGGAAGTCCACAACCAGGTCCTTTGTGCATTTGATGAAACGGGTGCCAGACTACAAATATTTATGACCTAATGCATTTGTTAAGTATTGAAGGTGCCACAAGACACTCCTTTGTTCTTGTAGGAATTGATTGGATCTGGTTCTTGGTTTGAAGAGATTGTTGAGTACTATTTCACATGTAATGCAGCCTTCATTACGTATACTCCAGATGGGGATAAGATGGAGATAGTAGCCAGGTTTATGCAACACGCAGTGAGGATTCATGAAAGCTATGCAACACTGACTTAAGTGTTAGATGAAGGCTGTTTGTTGGTTGGGGGGTTGTTGTTGTGTTTTTTGGTGAGTGGTTTTTCTGTATTGAACCCTACTGGAATGCCAATAAAGGTTTGAGAATCTGACTACTATTAATTTCACTGGGTGAAAGCTATGCATCCCTCCTACAACTGGTTGTTAAAAATGTAAATAGTCAATGGGCTGGGTTATGAACATGATGCATAGTGAAGCAGTCCCATGAACACTGCAAATCTTTGCATGGATATACCGTACCTGATTCATATTCACAAATAGCTTATCTGCCCCCGCATCTAATGTAATAGAGTAGTTTTTGAAGGTTTAAGTGAGCCACACTATGAAGAAACACCAACTCCATGATCACAGTGAGTTGCCTTCTGATCACAAAGATATATGTAAAACCTGTGTAGTCAACTGCTCCTAATACCACTTTCCCCAGAGAGAAGTGTCTGTTCTAGGAATAAACAGTGATGGCATGGTGGCATTTTGCCACGTTCAGATTTCCCTGCCAAGCAGTCGTTGTCTGTGGTCATGCAAGGTTTTTAGCAATACTTTTCCTTTTTTTACAGCTCCAAAATCTTGGAATTAATCCAGCAAACATTGGATTCAGTACCTTAACAATGGAATCTGATAAATTCATATGTATTCGAGAAAAAGTTGGTGAGCAAGCACAGGTTGTGATCATAGACATGAGCGATCCAACCACTCCTATCAGGCGCCCAATCTCTGCAGAAAGTGCCATCATGAATCCAGCTTCTAAAGTAATTGCTCTGAAAGGTAAGTTTTATTTTCTTTGCATTAACTTGGGAGGATTGTTGTGCAGCAGCACATGTATTGGTTCTGCTTTGAACCCGTGTGCAGTATGTTAAGATTTGGTTGCATTTTGGTAACCATTGTATCAGTCAGGGAATGCTGTAAATAATGGGATTGAGTTGTACTAGGAATGAAGTGGTTTGGAAAGTTTGCTTAATGTAGGACTTGTCAAAGCAAATTATTAGGTTAATTTTAAGATGACATTGCTATTGTACAGTAAGCTTTGAACTATTTTTTTCAAGGCTGGGAAAATCAATAGGCACTACCAGTTCCAAAACCTCTGGGTATCTTTTCCAGCCAAGTACTGCTTTTGCAGGGCAGTATTTTGGGGTGGCAGGGAAGGCAAGCATCTACTAAATAAAGCTTGGATCGTGTTGCATGTTTGGTTTAAAGTCCTAAAACTGAAAAGGTAAAGCTTCTGCTGCAGCTAGTCCTAGGAGCTATGTGATCTTCCAGGTGCTGCCTAATCACCATGTAAAAATATCCATACCCAAGCAGATGCAAAAACTCATTGGTGTCTAATATATAAAATGGTTTCACTTTCACTGACTGTGTACTTTCTTTCCTGCATTCTTGTCTTAAAACAGATGGTGAGTTAACTTTGTACTGACACACTTCATGTTTAATAGTTTTGGAATGGTCTCATCTCATAAAAAGTACTAAATTCTGCAGGAGGCAATTTGGCATGTCACTTGTAGAGATAATTGTAATCTAGATGCTAAAATTTTGAGTTTGGGCAAACAAAACTATTTATCCTCTGAAACCACTTGTGACTTGATGGTAGTAACTGTACCAATAGATGGTTAAACCCAGCCTTAACCACAGTACAGTTAACTGACAAAATCAAGTCGCAATACTTTTATGAGAGACCTTTGCTGGCATGGTGTCTTGTGTGCTAGTCACTTCTTTTATTTTAAATGTGGTACTTGGTCTTAAAAGTCCATGGCAATGCTCGCAGGGGTCCACGATGCTACTTCAAAAATTGGCTTGCGTTGAAAATATGTGAACAACTCGGAAGTATGTAGGCAGCTGCCACTTAGAATGCCCATGCTCACCAAAGCACCTTGTTGGTAGCAAAGGGCTGTGAATGGACAACATGGGACTAATAACCCCAGTGTTAACTTTGACTTAAGATTCAGTACACACACAGTGCTTTAATTCTAATTGTCTTGGCCCCCTGTGAATCAAGCTCTTGGCCAGAAGAGCTAATATTTTGTGATAGCCCTTGGCATAACTACCTAATACACTATTTTGTTGCTATACCACGTGTGCTAACCCCAGAGATGCAAGTAACTGAACATAACTTAGTGTCTCATCCCCTCCCTCAATCTCCATCAAGAGCTCTTGCAGCATTACCACGTCACTTCCCACTTTCTTCTTTAAAAGAGTGTTCAGAAATAAAAGTGTTCAGATGAGTGGCCATGACAGCACATAATTATTTAGGAGGAGCAGTAACAGGGTTATAGCTTGCCCAGAAACCTATTACCCCAACAGAAACGTAGACCGACTTGTATTAAAATGTGGAGGAAACGTTGCTTTAGAAAAGCACTTAAATGTTCCCTGCAGATGGGAGTGTGGTGCTGGCAAACCAACTGCGTATTATGTCTTTCCTGAAGCTCAGGTTCCTTGTGTGAACAGTGAACATACATTACCAGTCCCTCAGAAATGTAATGCTTCTCAGAACTGTGATAAGAGTATGGTGCGTGCATACAAATTGCATTTCTGGATTGCATGTGGCATTCCTACAGTGATCAAAGCATTATTGTCCTTGTATGGATGTATCCTGTGTTTGTAATGTACCGTGAGAGCACTTCCAGTGATCTATGTTGGAACAGAATGGGGGGACGTAGTACTTTCCATAGGGCATTTCCATACACAAAGCATGGGAATGTAAAAAGTCAATTTCATACTCTACTCTTGCAGAGATGTAAAGTGTTCATAAAGCCTCTCCCCCTTCTCCCAAATTTGTCACCTGAGTAGATGTCTGGCTTTTAGTTAAGCAATGCAATTAAATGGTTCTTTTTATTATTAAAAAAAACAACTTGCTGCTTTATACTTACTATTTATTTGAGGTGAGAATCCATCGTGGGCAAGCTTCTGTAGTGGGATGATGACATGTGATCAGTTCTGCTGGAAGAAACTTTACTTGAGAGTGGGGGTGAAATTGTTGCATGTTGCTCTTCCCCTAAATTCTGTTGGAGCATTCCAGTCCTAGCAGCCTACTCGAACATGAGTGTGCTTGTTAGGGCTCTTCCTGCTCTTGGCATGCTCTCTCCATAACGGTTTTGTGCAAAGAAATTGTAGTTGAAAAAGCCACCATTATCACCAAGTAGGAGGATAGACTCTGCTTGCATCTATCTCATGGCCCCTTTTGCCTTGCTGTGTACATTCCCCTCCCCCCCCCTCCGTACATGTATGTGCAAATAAACTCCACAACTGCGACGACTTCTTATGCATCCGACTTGGGCTCTTGCCCACCAAAGGCTAAGCCATAATCTAGCCTTTAAGGTTCCTCCAGTACTTTGTTTTTGCTGCAAGAGACCAGAACCGCTATCCCTTGAAATTTGGTAAACAAAAATCGTACGCATTCCAATTGCATGTCAGGAACACACTGTTGAAGAGCGAGTGCTTTACAGTACTTTTTTGTATTTAAATCTGACAGCATTAGTCTTCACTATATTGCTTTAATAGCAGGGCTGCATTCATAAAGTTGGGAGTTGGCACAGTAGTTCAAACATATGTGTCAAAGAACCCTGTGAGGAAAAATGTCTAAAATTAGGCATAAAATTAGCTTAGGCCAAGAGAACTCCCCCAGCCTCTTTTAGTTGCGTAGAAAAAAAACACTCAACCCCCCCCCAGTCAAGGTTCAAAGGGTTACCCTGCATGCAGTTGAAATAAAAAGTAGAGGCTGAGGAATTCAATGAGAGTCAAACCTTTCAGGGACACTGTACACAGATGTGAAAAAACAAGATTTTGATTGAGTGCGGTGACTCTTTGGCATGCCTGAGGTAAGTTGCAGGAGAAATATCATGGGGTTCCTAATGAAATGCATAAACCCCTACCCTGACTACTACTAATTTTTACCAATCAGGCCCACCTTGTAAATTGTAGCTGAGGGGACTCTTGGAGAATAAGGGGAGCTTGGCACCTTGCACTTCAGACACTAATCTTAAGGGACTGCAAGCATTTCCTTAGGATGATTTAGAAAAAGCTGCTTCCTCCTGGATCACTTTTAGCCCGTGTGCAGTGGTCCTGTTTGGCAGCCATGAATTACTTTGGGCAATGGCCCAAGGATATGTTGGCATCCGTCTGTCTCAGGAGACAATGGAGGAGTGCGCCTCTGGGGGTGAGATTAGGCTGTTGGAAGGTTTCAGCACCTGCTGTAGCTGTAGAGACCGATGCAGAAGAGACATGTTTTGTTGCAGCTAGGGCAGGCATCCAGCTGTGCCGCTTCACATGCACCATGGCGCGCCAGGATAGCTCTTTATCTTTTGCCATCAGAAAGAAATGGTGCCTCACTAGCCTTCCTATTTATTTGTCTGTCTCCTCTCTCTTTTCCTCCTCTTACTCTCCTGCATTGCGTCCCTTTAGCCTCTGGAGGAAAGTAGTAGCTACCAATCAGTCTTGGTTCTGTCTGGGAATCGTTACTCTTTGCTGATCTCAATAACATTCTAGATCTGCTAAGAAACGGCAATTTGGGGGAAGGAATTTTGTGTTTGTGTGATAAACGCAAATCTCCTTACTCTTGACACAGATGCTTCCAGGTAATATATGAGGAGATATCCAATTGAGAATTCTCTGCTTGGACTACTGGACACTGATCTACTCTAGTGCCAATAGTGCCATACTGCTTGATGCCCACCAATAACACTGTGCGCCCTGAAAGTTGATTTTTTTAAAAAAGAAAGATCAAGGATCTGGTTAGTAACTTTCAGTGACATTGTACATTTGTCAGTAACGCAAGACTCAAAAGCTTCTGGAGATTTTTAGCTTACGACAGCAGTAAACTGTAGAACAAGCCAGTTTTCAAATACCTTTTAGGTTATGCTTTTAAGAAAACAGATATTAAGCAATTAACCCCCCCACCAAGCAGACCTTCATCTGATGGGAATAGCGTTGCTTAATGTCTGCTTCTCAAAATCCTATCTATTAAATATTGACTTCTGCTTCCTTGGAAGCCTAGAGTCAAGGGTTGCATCTTTAGGAAATGCAGTGAGTTCTTGTCCTCCTTTTGAAGAAAGGTCATATTTCCGTTTTTGGTTGCCTTACCTGCTGGGTTTCTAATGTCTTACAGATGACACAATGCTACCCTTCTCAAGGAACAGAAAATTGCACATAACAGCATTGTTTATGGTGTTAAGCCAGTTAGGTTCACACTGGTGTGTTACTCAATAATGACGATGGGTTGGAAAGTAGGACAGTTGGCATCCTAAGAATAAGGATCTTGTTTTGAGCAGTATTGAAAAATGTCTTTTTTATTATGCTGCCCATTCTGAAATACACCTTTACTTTTGAGAGGGGGGATTTTGCCCCAAAGAAACTTGGGATTTTGAGGCAAAATGTTGAAGGAGAATGTTTGAAGAGTTCATCTCCTGGCTTCCTCATTTGCCACTATACCATAAACTTCAATATTCCTACCTACTTTCTCTCTCACCCAGCTTTCCTAATGAGGCTTTGTCTTGAAAGACTGGAAGTGAAGTGCAGATATTACCAGATACGTTCTGCGTTCTACATGGGGATCCTACACTTTCCTTGAATTCTAAACAAGTTAGCACAAGGCTTAGGGCTAAAAAAAATAAGCATTTGATAAACTTATGGCCAGACTGAACATAAGAACCTGCTGCATCAGGCCAGTGACCCATCTGGTCCAGCACCCTGTTCTCACAGGTGGCCAGCATGATGCCTATGCGATGTCCAAAAGCAGGGCCTGAGCACAACAGCACTTTTCCCTCCTTCAGTTTCCAGCAACTAGTATTCAGAGGCATGCTGCTTCCGACAGTGGAGGTAAAACAGCCCCTGTGGCTAGTAGCCATTTTTACTGTCATTCTATGTGGATTTGTCTAATCCTCTTTAAAAGCCATCCAAGTTGGTAGTCATCACTGCCTCTTACGGGCACTGAAATATATGGGATTGGGTAAATTTCTACTTCCTTATTGTCAGAGTTTGGTGTCAATGATCCTTCATCCTCTACTTGCAATGTTCTAAATTATGCTGGATCCACACATGCGGTGCTACAAAGTGGTAAAATGAGCTGTGCCACTTCAGCTAAAGGTAGGAGAGCTTACAAAAATATGGTTTCCTCCCAACTGCTGTCTGACATTGTGCTGCCCAGTTTTTTAAGCACCTCATTCTGCTGCATGTGTAGCTGAGGCCTTTGACTTTGGATATTTCTAAATGTCTTTCTACAAAAAAGATGGTGTTGGAGTAGGGATAGCTATTGCTTAACATTTTTGGAGGGCTATGATTCTCTTTGTCTTTCTGTCTTGTATGCCAGCGGGGAAAACACTCCAGATCTTTAACATTGAGATGAAAAGCAAAATGAAAGCACACACGATGGCAGAGGAAGTGATCTTCTGGAAATGGATTTCTGTGAATACCGTTGCCTTAGTGACAGAGACTGCAGTTTATCACTGGAGTATGGAAGGAGACTCTCTGCCCCAAAAGATGTTTGACAGGCACGCCAGTCTTGCAGGCTGCCAAATCATCAATTACAGAACCGATGAAAATCAGAAGTGGCTGCTCCTGATAGGAATCTCTGCCCAGGTAAGGAAAGCTATGGAGTGCAGAGGGTACAAAAGCATGCATTGAAGCTTGTGGACTGTAGAAATTGGGAGACTAGAAGCCAAAACATTTTTGTGACAGCTGAGCTGGAAAGCAGAACTACTGAACATACAGTGAACTTGAAAGCTGTGACATGGGGATGATTATGTTCTGTTGAATTAGTGGTTGGAATCTCTTGATGGGAGGCGCAGGATAAGAGGCTCTAAATGGATTAAGGATCTTGACACTTCAGGCTCTTAAGTGCTTGCTGTACATTTAACGACTGTGATGCTTGCTCCATTAGCAAAATCGTGTGGTTGGTGCCATGCAGCTGTACTCAGTGGATCGAAAAGTTTCCCAGCCTATAGAGGGACATGCAGCAGCCTTTGCAGAATTCAAAATAGAAGGCAATGCCAAGCCTTCCACCCTCTTCTGTTTTGCTGTGCGAAGCCCTGCAGGAGGCAAGGTAAAAGCCTTTTATACTTGATCATTGTCTTTGTTGCTTACAGCTGCTTTGGGGCATAAGATCCAAGACGATAAACCATTTAAATGAAGTTCCTCAACCCCTCTGTAGTAAGAGCTTGCACCAGTGTAGTCTGTGCAAGTCCTTGTGAAAAATCAAGAGATCTTAGCTGCGCTTCAGGGTTTAGGATGGAACACTTGATGTTGATACTGCACCTCTCTTTAAGGCATGAGTAGTCAATGTGGTGCCATCCAGTTGTTGCTGGACTCATGATCCTTGGCCATTGGCAATGCTGGCTGAGGCTGATGGGAGTTGTAGTCCAAAACTTCTGGTGTGCAACATGTTTTTCTGCTTTAAGGTGTCTCACCAAAATAGACCATTTTGAATTGCAGTCTCAAAGTGCCAGTCAACATAGCCTTAATTTGGGCTGTAGAGCCAATACTATAGAACAGGCACATCCAACTTCCAAGAGACTGCGATCTACTCCCACTATAAAAAAACCTAGCAGTGATCTTCCCATTGGATTGACCAGAGTTGTTGAGCTTTTTTTTGGGGGGGGAGAGGATCGACCAGGATCGACCAGGGACACCCCCGCGATCGACCGGTAGGTCGTGACCGACATATCGGACACCCCTGCTATAGAACATTTAAACTTTGTGAAGAATGGAGAACTCTTTAAGAAAAATCCATACCATTATTTTTAACAGTTTTCCATTCTGAGGAACACCTGATTTGAGTGAGCTTTTCTCCTTTCAACTAAACAATTGATTTATAACCCTGTGGTGTTTCCCCAGCTGCATATAATTGAAGTGGGTCAACCTGCTGCTGGAAACCAGCCCTTTGTCAAGAAAGCTGTTGATGTCTTTTTCCCTCCAGAGGCTCAAACGGATTTCCCAGTGGCAATGCAGGTAATGAATTGAGGAGTGTGTTTAAGACTTCCGGTGGCATGGCCGAAGCATATCAAGTGCAGCGGTAGTATTGCATGCCCTTTTTAGCCCATAAACAACTGTTGTGTCAGAAAAATATGAACTTTGTTCCAAACACTTACATGCTGCCTTTCAGGGTGAAGCCCTCCCAAGGTGCCTTGCAAAAGATTAATTGTGTGTATTCAAGATCATTCAGTCTCCTATACATAGCAGGGGCTCTTGAATGGAGCTGTATCCAGGCATGATGAACAGGTGCAAGGATGCTGTTTACTCCCACTCTGATGGCAATGCCAGTTGGTAACTCTTAGGCAGCTGTCAGCTGGAGCTGTATCCAGACACAATTGAATACAACTCTCCAAATTACCACATCAGTGTGTACAGTTGGTTTAAATGATACAGAATTGAGCGAGGCCAATGTTTAATGCAATTTGTCTGAGTTTATAGCACTGCTAGACCAGGATCTAAACAAGCATGTAACTAGGCTGGATTGGATACTGTAGTCCTATAAAGCAAGTCAGTCTTAAACTTAAAGGCGGCTTAGCCTAATCTGTTTATCACAGAATGGTGGAGGAGGGGTGGAGGCCTGCTGTTCAAAATTGCTGAATATACACAAGCCCTTAGAGTTGCACCTAGAGTGGAACTTCCTTGAAACTGAAATCTGGATCTGAGCTTCTTGCAGCCATAGCGGCTTGCCCAAGGTCTTAAGTGCTTCAGTTTCACAGCTCAACTAGTGATTGACTTGTAGTGACATAAATGCTCAGCTCCCCAGTCTAATCCACTTGCACAATAAATTGAGTTTTTGTTGCTGTGCTAGGAAAAAGCTTAAGTTAACTAGTGCAGAGGTCAGCAAACTTTTTCAGTAGGGGATCAGTCCACTGTCCCTCAGACCTTGTGGGGGGCTGGAGTAGATTTTTTTGGGGGGGGGATGAACGAATTCCTATGCCCCACAAATAACCCAGAGATGCATTTTAAATAAAAGGACACATTCTAGTCATGTAAAAACATGCTGATTTAGAAGGTGATTGGGCTGAATCTGGCCCCCAGGCCTTAGTTTGCCTACCCATGAACTAGTGAATAACTTCTGAACTGTCCTGGTTAACCTTGTCTCTTTCTTGTACATTTGGTAGATTGGAACAAAGCATGGTGTTATCTATCTGATCACAAAATATGGATATATTCATATGTATGACTTGGAATCTGGAGTATGCATCTACATGAACCGTATTAGTGCAGAAACTATCTTTGTAACTGCACCTCATGAACCTACCTCAGGAATTATTGGTGTAAATAAAAAAGGACAGGTAAGAATGATGCCTATTGTTTTTGTCCATGAAGTTTTCTTGGCAGGGATACTGGAGTGGCTTGCCGGTTCCTGCTCTAGGTGGATCACGTTTAGTCAAAACTCTCCACTATGACCTGTCCATCTTGGGCGGCCCTGCACGGCATGGCTCATAGCTTCTCTGAGTTATTCAGGCCCCTTCGCCACGACAAAGGAAATCAGGCTTGAGTGCTCACTGGAAGGACAGATCCTGAAGCTGAGGCTCCAATACTTTGGCCACCTCATGAGAAGAGAAGACTCCCTGGAAAAGACCCTGATGTTGGGAAAGGTTGAGGGCACAAGGAGAAGGGGACGACAGAGGACAAGGTGGTTGGACAGTGTTCTCGAAGCTACCAGCATGAGTTTGACCAAACTGCGGGAGGCAGTGGAAGACGAGTGCCTGGAGTGCTCTGGTCCATGGAGTCACGAAGAGTCGGACACGACTAAACAACAAGAATGATGCGTGAAACTTCTCAGCTGTAGATTATCCATCACTTCAGTGTCTGCTTACTGTAATGCTGTCATTTAGGCTCTGAATCCTGACTGCTTTATCAGATCCAGGTGGCGGCTTTCCTTAAGTCACCACTTTGCTGGGCTCTGCACTGACGCTTAGGGATTTCAGCTCATTGGTTCAAAACGGTGAAAGAGATGCCGTGTAACGTCCTGAAGTGAGACCTCAAGTTCCCAAGCATGCATTCTCTAATGATCCAGATTACAGCCTGCATTGGAGGTGTCGATGCATGCACACGTATGCTAACCTCTCTTGTTAACAAATCAAATCACTCTTGAGATTAACGTGGTATTTCCTCTATGATCACTGAATAAAACACTGCATCAAACACAGATAAGAGGACTGATAGAATAGATTTCTCCAGCAGAAGTTCTAACATAAGCAGTAAAGATGTTGAAATGACAACTGAGCAGTCAGTAAGGAAGGCTTTGTAAAAAAAAAAGGGGGGGGAGAATTTTAAAGTAGAACTTCAGCGGTGAACAGTATTGTATCCTGTATCTAACTGGTAGCAGTTGGCCTGGTGGTAAAAAAAGGTAAAGGATGCCTGACAGTTAAGTCCACTCACAGACGACTTGGGGGTTGTGGCGCTCATCTCGCTTTACAGGCTGAGGGAGCCAGCATTTGTCCGCAGACAGTTTTTCCGGGTCATGTGGCCAGCATGACTAAGCTGCTTCTGGTGCAACAGAGCACCAAAACCAGAGCAGCCCACGGAAACACCGTTTACCTTCCCGCCGGAGTGGTACCTACTTATCTACTTGCACTTTTTGGCATGCTTTCGAACTGCTAGGTTGGCAGGAGCTGGGACCGAGCAACGGGAGCTCACCCCGTTGCGGGGATTCGAACCGCCGACCTTCTGATCGGCAAGCCCAAGTGACTCAGTGGTTTAGACCACAGCGCCACCTGCGTCCACCAGGCCACCTGCGGCCTGGTGGTACCTAGTCTTATTTATAATATTATAAAGTGAAATTTTTGAATGTTTGCCACTTTTCCTCCAGATCTGTCGTGCTCCTTTTATACAGTAGAGTGTGCCTTGTCCTTTTTTTAGACTTTACTGTGCACTCACTGACTCTCTTTCTCTTACAGGTACTCTCTGTTTGTGTGGAGGAAGATAACATTGTAAATTACGCCACCAATGTTCTCCAGAATCCTGATTTGGGTCTGCGCATGGCGATCAGGAGTAACTTAGCTGGGGCGGAAGAACTCTTTGCCAGGAAATTTAATACACTTTTTGCACAGGGAAATTATGCAGAAGCGGCTAAAGTGGCGGCATCTGCACCAAAGGTAAGCATCTTTTTAAAAATTATTTTTTGGCTGAGGGGTTCGGGGGTGCACTCCAAACAAATTTTGTAGCCTTTAACCTTTGTTTGAAGCAACAGGCAATCCCAAGTTGTACGAGAGCATTGGTTCTGTCTTCCGCGAGGGAGACAAATACGATTATAAAGATAGGGCAGCATTAAACTAAGTTGTAATCAGAGTCGACCCATTGAAATGAATGCACATGACGTAAGTGAGGTGCAGCAGTTTACCTTACCATAATAAAGGTAAAGGTACCCCTGCCCGTACGGGCCAGTCTTGACAGACTCTGGGGTTGTGCGCCCATCTCACTCAAGAGGCCGAGGGCCAGCGCTGTCCGGAGACACTTCCGGGTCACGTGGCCAGCATGACATCACTGCTCTGGCGAGCCAGAGCCGCACACGGAAACGCCGTTTACCTTCCCGCTAGAAAGCGGTCCCTATTTATCTACTTGCACCCGGGGGTGCTTTCGAACTGCTAGGTTGGCAGGCGCTGGGACCGAACAACGGGAGCGCACCCCGCCGCGGGGATTCGAACCGCCGACCTTTCAATCGGCAAGCCCTAGGCGCTGAGGCTTTTACCCACAGCGCCACCCGCGTCCCCTCCTTACCATAATAAGTATATGTAAAATCCATGGTGGGTATTGTTGACCAGAGCTATGAACTGGTTGTCCCATTGAATTCTTGCTTAGGATTGCAGCCCTAAATCAGGTAATCATGGAGTCACTGTCAGGGGTTGGTTAGGAGAAGGCTATTGTCCTGATTCTTCACTTGTGGAAAATGTGATGACAGACCTAGATCTAGCAGCATTTTTACGTTGGTGTTGGGCAGAGTGGATAAAAGTCAATGATTTATTTTTTAAAAAAAAACCCCTGGATGTTTTTCATTTAAATCAGATTTTTTAAAATTTAAATTGGATTTTTAAAATAAAATGCTTTTGAAGGAAGAAATCTTTCTAAAGATAGTTTTCTATTTAAGTTACATTATAGTCCAAAGGCTATTCATCAGGAAATAAGGATTTGTTTTAAGTTTTTTCATGTGTGCTAAAACTCAGTCTAAGGTTTTTTTTTATAAAAAAACATTGTTTAACCACTTCAGTTAACAAACATCAGTTAACAAACACCTATGCTATAAATCTTACTTTTTTAGTTAAAATATAAACATTTAATTTATTAAACCTCACCATAATTTCATAATTATCTGTCTATGTATTTCTAATATTATAACCAAATCAGTAATTTTTGATATAACGGTAGAAAGCTACTCTGAAAATGTATTATTCCAAAAATGAAACCTTCATTTGTTTGTAAATATTAAGATTATACCAGCAAGAATGAGTCTTTCTGTAAAAAAAAAGATTTAAATCAAGTCTTACTGACTAGTGATTTAAATTGATTTGGTTTAAATCCAATCCACCCTGGTCTTGGGAATTCTCAGCTAGCAAGCTCCCTCTGCCTTGGATTTTCCCTTAAGGGAGACTTTTTAATAGAATCATGTTTCAATGTTCAGGGAATCTTGCGCACAAGTGATACCATCCGAAAGTTCCAGAGTGTACCAGCCCAGCCTGGGCAGGCCTCTCCCTTGCTCCAGTACTTCGGGATCCTCCTCGATCAAGGCCAGCTCAATAAATTTGAGTCCCTGGAACTCTGCCGTCCTGTTCTTCAGCAAGGCCGCAAGCAGCTTTTAGAAAAATGGCTAAAAGAAGACAAGGTAAAACAGGGGACCTCTTCAAAAATTTATTATGCTGTGGTCTGCTTTAAACAGTCGTCGTTCTGTTGCCTGTGCTGAAATTAACTAGCGTTCCTATTTAGGCACGCTTACCCAAGCAGTATAAAGGCTTGTTAGTGACAACAGTGCGTTTTGTTGATTACCCACCTACATCCAACTGAGAGGTCTGCTGGCTTTTTGCTCTAACTACAGGCAAAATGACCTTGATGGGAAATCTCCCTGTTGTGTAGACGCTTACCCTAGAGCAGTGAAAATGGATTAGGCATGCCCAAATACACCATTTTTCAGTACTGGGAAAATATAATCCCAAGAAATCCACCAATGGACCATACATGAGCTAGGTACATACTGTAGATTGCGAAAATTTAATACTTGTCAAGGTATTTTATGATATCCATTTAAATTGAAAATGAGCAAAACTCTGAGCACTGAGCCACTCCTCTGACCCCCTTCCCGGTTTTATTTTAGTTCGCTCTGTTGTGTTGGATGTAAACAAAGACATCACTAAAATACTAATTTGAAAAAGAGTTTTGGGCTGCACTTCTATAATTCCCACAGAGTTTTCTTCCTAAACAGTGAGGTAAATCGCTGAGATCCAGACAGGCATACCCTATATATTCAAAGAGTAGCAACTACATTTGCTTGCCATAAGCAGGGGTGGGTGGCAGCGTTTGCTGAGCTGGGTGTGGTGTTAATAGCTTTGAAATGCTGGTTCTATTGCAGTCTTACGTTCGATGCCAGCAAACAAATTGCAGCTTAACACTTGGATCTGTGTTGATTCTGAAATGTTGTTTCTGTTTCAGCTGGAATGCTCTGAGGAGCTAGGAGACTTGGTGAAGGCTGCTGACCCAACCCTTGCCCTCAGTGTTTATCTCCGTGCGAATGTACCAAACAAAGTAATTCAGTGTTTTGCAGAAACTGGTCAATTCCAGAAAATAGTTCTTTATGCCAAAAAGGTAACTATCTTTTTTCCCCCCTCTGAAAAGTATGTGATTGTGTAATGCACACCTTTGCAAGCCAGAAGCTTTTTGAACGCACAGTTAAATTTTATCTTTACCGAGATAAGAATAAGTCTTGGAACATTCCGGGATATCTGAAGTGTGATATGCAACGGCCCCACCTGGTAAAGTTTCAATTGCATAAGTCATGTGGTCTTTGGAGCATTCAGTAGACTATTCTGCGGACAAAAATGGCAAAAATCAGCTTCAGTACCTCAGGGCTTTTCCTGCGGGTGAATGAAACCCTAAATTCTATAGGCTCTTTGATATCTTTCAATTTAAAGGACTGAACTAAGATGGGGTGTGCACATTAACATGGTTGTCTTGCTAATCTCTGGCAATTTCATTAATTTAAAATGTTAAGAAACCCCACCTTTCTATTTCAGAACTCCCAGAGTGGGTTTCAGTTAATATTAAAATAATATAATCTGTAGGATTTAAAACTGATCAAAAGACGTGAAGCCCAGTGTTGTAAAAGCATAAGATTCTGTATTGGGTGAGCCTCCCTGGGGATTGCATTCCATGGATGAGTTTTCACAAATGAAGGTGTTTTTCCCTGGCTGTAATGTGCCTGATACCCTTAAATTTGGCGTACCCAAAAGGCGATATTAATATTTTGGACAAATAGAAGTGGGTGATTCCAGATCCCAAACTGTATAAAGGATAAAAGCTAGGTATTGAATGGCATTTGGAAGAGCTTATCAGCTACTGAAGTCATTGTGAAGTTGAACCAACAACAACAGTCCCTTTGGACTGGTCCCCTTCCAACAAATGAGAAGCTGTCTCTTATATCAGTTGTACATCAGTTGTACAGCAACCCAACTGTAACATTCGAATCTGTACGTTGAATAATGGGCTGATCAATTTCTTGCCCTAATGTCATATGAAGCAAGTAAAAAACCTGACTTGAGGTGTGAGGTTGGGTTTAGGTACGTGTAATTTGCTAAGGCCCAGTTGCTTTTGGAATATATTAGCAAAATGCAGGAATATATTGTGTTAAAGAAAAACTTACTTAACATCTTGAAATTTGACCTTTTAGGTTGGTTATACTCCGGATTGGATTTTCTTATTGAGGAGTGTGATGAGGGTCAGCCCAGATCAGGGTCTTCAGTTTGCTCAGATGTTGGTACAGGATGAAGAGCCACTAGCCAACATCAATCAGGTAAGCACTAGCTTGGTCTGTTGCAATTCTAGAAGATAAAGCTGGAATAAAATGCCCCTCAAGTCCTAATACAGCTAAATGAATACCCATCTTGTTTAAATGTCTACAGTTTTTCTCATGGTCTTGCAATTCTGGAAAACTAATCAATTTACCTAATTGCAAAAGTTGCTAGCTATAGGTTTCAAAGCAGTGTAAGGAATTATCAAAAGTGTAAGGAATTATACCTTAGTAGCTATGGGCAGTGACAACTCAAATTTGCATGTAAGAGACCAACTCCTTCTGTTTCGACCAACTCCGTTTAGGCAAGAACTACAGTGGTACCTCGGGTTAAGTACTTAATTCGTTCCAGAGGTCCATTCTTAACCTGAAACTGTTCTTAACCTGAAGCACCACTTTTGCTAATGTGGCCTCCTGCTGCTGCCTCGCTGCTGGAGCCCGATTTCTGTTCTTATCCTGAAGCAAAGTTCTTAACCTAAAGCACTATTTCTGGGTTAGCGGAGTCTGTAACCTGAAGCCTATGTAACCTGAAGCCTATGTAACCACTGTGCAGACATAAAGAACTGGGTAAAACTGATTTTGAAAACTATGCTATAGTTTTTCAGAAGAGAAACAAGGTTAAACATGCTTGATATGTGATGGGCACCTGGACATGAAGTGGAATAAATAATATTTTTTGGAAACATTGAATTCAGCTATGTTCTTATGTTGTGGTTTGGAAACGTTGGGAGCTTGAAGTCTGTATTTGGTGAATTAAAGATAAGTTTTGTAGCACACTTGGGCAACGGTTTACGTGTCTGATGGTCATTTGTTTGATTCCTACACTGTAGATTGTTGATGTATTCATGGAGAACAGTTTGATTCAGCAGTGTACCTCCTTTTTGTTGGATGCCTTGAAAAATAACCGTCCAGCCGAAGGCCACCTCCAGACTCGTCTGCTTGAGATGAACCTCATTCATGCTCCACAGGTAAACTCTCCTGGGCTGGATGGGTATTGTGGTGGTGTTGTTTGAAGCCTCCCTTTCTCATTCCTTCTTGAGGGAGGCAGTTGTTATTTTGCCAAGGACGGCTCTGTGTAACAATCTACCCATATATTTCATGTAGAAGATCACCTACAAGGATTTTAAGAGCACTAAGTCCCCTATTCCTCTTTTTATAAATTGACTTGCACTGTTGTTAATCCCTAGGTTGCAGATGCTATCCTGGGAAACCAGATGTTCACACATTATGACCGTGCCCACATCGCCCAACTTTGTGAAAAGGCAGGCTTGTTACAGAGAGCATTGGAGCACTACACTGATCTTTACGACATCAAGCGAGCTGTTGTTCATACCCATCTTTTGAACCCAGAGGTAAGATAATGTGCAGCCGAACATTAACCAGTTAGGGTTCATGCTCCCTTCTGCACTGTTCTCCTTTGTGTTCTTTGGTTAGTTGGTTGCTTCCTTTCCTACAGACCACCCCCTTTTGCTTCCAGTGATTTTCTGCTTCTAGACAAGCCAGGGTGGTATAATGTTTATATGCTGGGTCAGGACTGGGGAGACCCAGGTTCAAATCCTTAGTTGGCTATAAAGCTTGCTGATGACTTGGGGCTACACACTCTACTGAATGCACTCTATAGGGTGGTTGTGAGGATAAAACTAAGGGAGCAAAAGAAGGCCTCTCCCCTGCCCTCCATGCCTACCTTGGCTCTCCTGAAACAACCAAAACATGATAATGGACCTCAGTGCTTTAATACACCTTTGTGCTTCCCTTAGATTGGTAGATACCATATTTTTTGCTTTATAAGACGCACCAGACCACAAGACGCACCTAGTTTTTGGAGGAGGAAAACAAGAAAAAAAATATTCTGAATCTCAGAAGCCAGAACAGCAAGAGGATTCACTGCGCAGTGAAAGCAGCAACACCTCTTGCTGTTCTGGCTTCTGTGATAGCTGTGCAGCCTGCATTCACTCCATAAGACGCACACACATTTTCCCTTACTTTTTAGGAGGGGAAAAAGTGAGTCTTATAGAGCAAAAAATACGGTAATTGAAACTCACAATACAGTAACTATTCATGCCATGGTGTGAACCTGCTTGAATTACTTGGTTCTTCTTTCCTTAGTGGCTTGTGAACTTCTTTGGCTCTCTGTCAGTTGAAGATTCTGTTGAGTGCCTACGTGCTATGCTGTCCGCCAACATCCGACAAAACCTACAGCTCTGTGTGCAAGTGGCGTCTAAATACCACGAGCAGCTGGGCACCCAGTCTCTTGTGGAGCTGTTTGAATCCTTTAAAAGTTACGAAGGTAAGCCTCGGAAGCAGAGAATAGTGCTCGCTCCCCTTGAACTTGTTTTACCGAGGACTGCGGAATGTCAGATAATGGAGGTGGGAGGCTGTTTTTATAGAAGCACTGAAAACAACAGAACGCAAGAATGCCTTTTTTTTTTACACGTTCTGGCCCCTGTGAGAGGGTAGCAGTGCCTAGCAATGTTGTCAAAGCTAAAACCATGCCTGAGGTTGAGGGCAAGGCACTGGAAATCTTCTACTAATGGAGAAGAGCAAGAAGTAAAATACATTGTGCAAAATAGGCATGCGTATAAGTAAATTGGTATATTTTAGAGGTAGTAAAAGTAATATTTTTTTACCCAGCAGATTTTTCACTTTAACTATTACAGTGCAGCCTAAAGCCATGTCTACATTTGTAGTTCTAATATTAAAAGGGATGGGGCTCTAGTAAGCAGTTTGTAAGCAGCAAGGAGCTTACAAATCCTGTCTTAAAAAGTAGTTTCTAATTCTTAAAATATTTGCCTGAAATAATGGCTAGCATATCTTTTAAACAACTTAGATTCCCAAACATGCCTACTGAATACGTATTTAGCTAGTAGGTTTTCTAATAGATTAGTAAAGTAACATTTTTATGTATGTAGAGCAGGCCAAATTGAAGATGTTGTACACTGTATCTTATACTGTATTTTCTATAATTTACCAAGGGCTAAGTTCATACTTCCCTTTCAGACTTTCCTAGAAGGCCAAACAGATAGTTGTAAGATATAGGGTAGCTTTATTTATATTTCTGCAAAAAAGATAAAAGAGGCATTTTAAAATCATATTAGTGTGGAATGTTATGGGTAGTCTTGAACTAAATAAATATTTTAAATTCTGTATTCACAGGGTTTAGCCCTGTCTTATTGGACTGATTATCTCCCCATATTGTAATGGTCATTGGCTGCAAAGAGTTATTCCTGACCTGACTAGTGTATTAATTGATTGATTTTTTTGCAGGATTTGTAAGAAATGGAAATGTAACCAATCATGGAAGGAGTACTATTAAAGATGCTAGAATGAGGGGAGGAAATAAGAAAACCAGTACTTATTTCTAGAAGTTGCTAAAAGAATCTAATCAAGTGAATTGTTTATACGTCTGAGTTAGGAATGCAATGCTGAAAAGGCTTCCTAATTTTAAAGTATGGATTAAGGCCATTTTCATTACTGGCTATTGGATAATAATTTGTTGGGCTACTGGTCCTTTGTCTTCAAACACTGTGGTTTTTTGAACCATGCCTTGTTGAAGCTGTTTATATTTGATGCTTGTAGAGGTGCCTTTCTTTTCTCTCTTCCCCTCCACCCCAATGTGGACACCCCCCCAACCACTTAAACCTGTCTCTCTAGGGCTGTTTTATTTCCTGGGCTCTATTGTAAACTTCAGTCAAGACCCAGATGTCCACTTTAAGTATATCCAGGCAGCTTGCAAGACTGGCCAAATCAAAGAGGTAGAAAGAATCTGCCGAGAAAGCAATTGTTATAATCCAGAACGGGTGAAGAACTTTCTGAAGGTAAAACACCCACAGTACCAAACTGAGTGGTGGTATTTTAAATGTCTGTTTAGACTTTTTTCTGTGTCACCCTTGTTTTTCAATATGTTTGTTTTATTTTAAATTGTGTTAACTTTTTATGTTTGTTTGCTGCCCTGGGAAGAAGGGTGGGATGATGATGATGGTGGTGATTCAGTCTTTAATTCTGTTTTTACTGCCCTCTCGGGTTTGCTACTTTAATACCACATTGGTGATCTCTCATAATACAACCTGAGTTCATCCGATTAAATTGTGTATTCGGGAGAATTCATTTCAGACAAACAAACTAAAGGACTACTTCACGCAGTGCATACTTATCCTTTGGAATTCTCTTCCACAAGATGGCTTTAAAAGGGGATTGGGCAAGTTTCTGGAGGATATGGCTACTAAGCCATGATGACTCCCGTATTTACTTGAATCTAATGCTTACCTTTTTTTGGTGAAATTACCTTGCAAAAATTAAGGTGCGCATGAGATTCAATGTCGCGTTTGCATTTGCCAGCAAATACTTTTTTTGGTTTCAAGGTTCTGAAAATTGAGATGCGCATCAGATTCGATGGTGCATTAGACTCGAGTAAATACGGTATATCTTGCCTCCAGTCCTGAATACAGTGTGCTGAGAGAACGCTAGCAGGAGAGGGCTACCGACCGTTCTTCTTGGTTGTGAGTTCCTCACAGGCAGCTTGTTTGTTGCTGTGGACTAGAGGGGAAATTTTCTCTGAAGCACTCTTGTGGAAAGCTCCCCACTCTCCTTTCATGAGTTGAGGAGCAAATAATATGACCAGAGAGCAGAGAGACCTCTGATATAGGAAGATTGCTTTAGAATGTAGTGTGAGATGTTATTAGAGACAAGGCTTTAGGCCTGTGATAGAACAGAGAAAAGAGGACATGCATCCCAGAGTTCAGATGGGCAGAGTTAGGAGAGGGATTGAAGAGAGCGCTTAGGGGTGCAGATAAAAAAAGAGAGCCTACGCACAGTGGGTGTTCCTTACTTGTCAGGGGACTGCCATCGGGAGGCAGAGGGGCCGTTGGGATACAGGGAGGCTTCGAAAATCTTGCGAAGCAGTTCCTTTTCCTGCAGCGGGGAAAGCCACACCTCTAGTGGGGAAGAGGGGAAGGGACCAGAGGATGCTGCTGGGGGCCCCAGCACCACACCTCGTCAGTCTGAGGGTGGGCGAAGCCACACCTCCGGGGTAAAGGAGGGGAAAGGGCCAGAGGATGCTGCGGGGAGCCTCAGCACTGCTCCTGGCCAAGCCGGCCAGGAGGGAAACACGCCTATTCCGTCGCCTACCTTGTGCAGAGAAGTAAAACGCAAAGAAGGAAGGAAATGGCTGGGGGTTGCTAAGTTCTATGTTGGGGGAGGACCAAGAAAGAACCACTCCCGGATTCTGCTAGCGATTGAGGCTGACATGAACTGATGGTTCTGCACTGCAAATAGTTTTTGCACCAAAACAAAGCCTGTAAAAGACAGATCGGAGTCCTGCCTGGTTGCTCACAAGCAACCACCACTGACGTCTGACATTACTGAACTGATAAAATGCCCTTCTGCACTGAAGAAAGCTACACCTTTCCATTCCATTGACGATAAATGCACATAGTGGCCCTTGGTAATCTATTGCAGAGGAAACGTGTAATTTCTGGAAAGAGGAGCGCAGCCATGTTGTTTGCCTGTGTCACATAAGTCAACCTTGTTCTGCCATATTGAGCTGGGTTCTTTTGTAATTAACCAGGTTTCCATTCAAGTTTTTCTCTCTTGGTCTTCTGTTCTTGCTTGTACACTTTATTGTTGCTCTCTTTCTCATAATGGTATGTTGCTGTATTTGCTCCTCTCCGTTTGTACAGGAAGCTAAGCTCACAGACCAGCTTCCCCTGATAATCGTCTGTGACAGATTTGACTTCGTCCATGACCTGGTTCTCTATTTGTACCGTAACAACTTGCAGAAATACATTGAGATCTATGTTCAAAAGGTAATGTATCTACACATGCGGTAATTTGATTCATAACTTTTAAGAACATGCTTTTGATGTCAGTGACAGCAAATCCTTACCTTAGACATCCAGCAGAAAATGTGATCGGGAAGCTTTTTATTTAATGATGTTTTTGAATTGGTTGCAATCTGCAGTTTACCAATGTGTCTAACAATAGTTTGGACATTTTTTGGTGAGACCTGAAACTAAAAATAATGACTTGTTCTAGGTAAACCCAAGTCGTATTCCAGCCGTGGTTGGAGGGCTTCTAGATGTAGATTGTTCTGAAGATGTTATCAAGAACTTGATCATGGTGGTGAGAGGCCAGTTCTCAACAGATGAACTGGTAGCTGAAGTGGAAAAAAGAAATAGGTAAGACTTGCAGAAAAAACTAATTTTAGTTCTGGTTCAGAATTCCTTTATTTCTAAAACTTCTTAGATTCCAACTGCAAAGCTACGTGCTTGTAAAAAAACACTGTGTCAAAATACTTCAAAAAACTACTTTAAGTCAGTACCCTTATTAGACCAACTTTTTTCTCTGGATCACACTTTCAGAATAAAAATTTGCTGCCACCATACCATTTTTTTAATTGATAAGAAATACATTGGAAAACAAAAAGAAACAACTCCTGGCAGTACTTGATTTATAAGCCAGAACACAACTACTTTATGATATGATCATGGGACATCCAGAAAAAATAAAACCATGCAGCTACATAAGACCACAAATCATTCCCAAAATACAAACAAGCCTCTTTCCTTTGTACCTTAAGTATGCGTACAAACTCAATGAGAGGTGCTCGAGTTCCTCCCCCCTTCTTTCTGCGGTTCCTTAAATTTATTTTTTTATATTTTCTGCATATTCCAAATTAACTTACTTATGTATCTACTTCAAATATATATACTCTTATAAAACTGCAGGTTGTTACAATAGTCATGCCAATGTTCTTATCTGTTTACAGTTTATTTGTAAATATTCAATAAACCATTTCCATTCTTTTATAAAAAGTTCATTTGTCTTGATTTCTTATTTTTCCAGTAACCTCCGCCATTTCTGCATATTCCATATGTTTTTATATCCATTCTTCATTTGCTGGGACTACTTCTTTCCGTTTTTGGGCAAATAACATTCTTGCCACCATAGTTGCATACATAAATAAATTTCTATACAGTTTGGGTAGTTCTGTTCCTATAATTCCCAAAAAGAAGGCTTCTGGGGTTTTTTACAAACATTATTTTAAACCTCTTTTTCAATTCATTACATATCATTTCTGAGTAAGCTTTAACCTTACTACGATACTAAGTTTTATTTGAGACAAACATACTCTCATTTCCTCATCTACTGAAAGAAACCTTTCCCTTTTCTGTTCTTGATACTACACTATATTATACTATACTGAAATGTTGAAATTTTTCTTTACTTGCCCCTGAACCACCCTTGCCATTCTCTTCTGCCAAACCAATGCGCCACACCCTTTAAGAACCACTGGTCTCAATGGTAAACAGCAGTGAGGGTGAAAGAAAAATGGCTGATGGTGAAGCCATCTAGTCCCAGTCCCAAGATGGAATAGGGGAAGAAATAGTAGACATTCAAGTGAGGCTATTCAGGTGCTATACAAATACTGGATTTTGCCAAGGCTTGTCAGGAAAAATAATATTTTAAAATGACTGATTTTGCCATCTCCGGAAATGGAAGATGTGGCTGTTCCCCAGATTTGTCTCCATCCTTAGGCAAGGGTTCCTTGGTAGATGGAGAACAGGCATCAAAGAAGATAGGCAGTCCTTTATATTAGCAAAAGTGGAAATTTTAGGTGATGCACATGGCAAAAACTCAATAGAAGCCAAACTGACCAGTTTTACTTAGGAGTTGGAAGAAATGCTTCCTCACAGAATAAAGTTCCACCATTAGTATAAAATCCTCTTCCTCTCACTTCAGAATGGTTACATTTCGTATTCTATGGTTAGCTGCTTAGCAGGGGTCCTCCATTCTCTTTAAGATAAGCGCAGAAGGGGGCGGGGAAAGAGAGAGATGGAAGTTGATTCTGTGATGCAGTTTAAAGGTGGGTTTTTTTCCTGGTTGCTAGTAGCATAGAAAATTAATTAATTGCGTTCTTATTTAAGGCTTAAGCTGCTGCTGCCCTGGCTCGAGTCTCGAATTCATGAAGGCTGCGAAGAACCAGCGACACACAATGCACTGGCTAAAATCTATATTGACAGCAACAACAACCCAGAACGCTTTCTGCGGGAGAACCCCTTTTACGACAGCCGTGTTGTGGGCAAATACTGTGAAAAGAGGGACCCACACTTGGCATGTGTTGCTTATGAGAGGGGGCAGTGTGACCTTGAACTCATAAAGGTATTTTAGTGTTGTCTTGCTGTAACTTACCTATATTGTGCTCTTTCTTCTCCTCTGTCCCCACCCCCAATTGTACCATGTAAGTGGATTTGATTATATTATGCATATGGAATTGCAGTGAAGAGTGGTTAAGAAATCTGTCAAATCTAATTCTTAATTTCTCATAGTTTTGAACGTTCAAAGGGGTTGTGGTTGCCATCTTCTGGTGCACAAGCCATGATTGTGTATGCAAAGCAGCTTCTCTTAGCTGGTGGCTTTCAAACTGTATATTTTGGGTAACCTCATTAATCCTCAATGAGAAGATCAGCAATAGCAGATGAGCCACCTGTTAGTTCAGCTATCTTCCCTTCCCCGGCCAGTTTTAAAACAAATTTCCTGGAAGACTTGTTTGCTCACTGCAGCTAGCCTTTCCATATGACAGGTATGCAGAACCTTTTGTTCTCCAGATGTTGCTAAAATACAACACCCATCAGCCACAGCGAGCACAGCAAATGGCATGGGGTGATGGGAGTTGTAGTTCAGCAATATCTGGAGGTCCAAAGGACACCTGCCCTATGGCAGCAAGGAAACATTGGGTGTATTCTAAGGCAGTGTTTCCCAACCTTTTTTGGGCAAAGGCACACTTGTTTGATGAAAAAAATCTCAAGGCACACCACCATTACAGCCCCGTGACGTCAGCGCGCAGTGTCACGCCGGGAGGGACGCACGAAAGTGTAACTTTCAATTTTTTCCCCTCCCCCTTGCCGGGGAACCTCCAAGCTTTGGGGGGGGGGGGAGGAGGCAGCAAAGCGAGGGACTGAGGGACTCCTCCAACGACAAGGGTTGAGGAAGAAGAGAAAGGGCTATTCCGCTCCAGTCACGGGAGGGGAATATGTACTGGCCCAACTGGTGTGCGGTCTTCGGAAAGCGGGGTGCGGGAAGGAAGCCTAGGCTCGGGGTCCACCGACCTCGGCGGAGAAAGGCAACAACCGGAGCCGATGACGAGCCGGCGCGTGCGTGCAGCGGCTGGCCTCGAGCTCGGGAAGCTGCGCGCGGCGATGTTGACGCGGGGCGCGCGAGAGCTTGGGGGCAGGGCGGGAGAGAGAGAGAAAGAGTTGGCAGCACCAGGCGCTGTTACTTATTGCGCTGCGGACGCTGCCAGCAACTGCGGTGGTTGTGCGGCGGCCGCCGCCGCAGAACGTCCTCGTCAGTCAGCTGAGCTGCCTGGCGGCGTAGGGAGCTGAGGGGCGGGGCTTCCTTTCTGAAGGAGCTGAGGGTGGGGGTCCTCCGGCGCCTTCGGCGAAACGGCGCCGGCCCAGAGCGCTTCTAGGAGGCTGCCTTTGTGCGCAACGTAAAGCCCTCTTTCCCTCCCTCCAGCCCCGTGTCACATGTGGAAAAGGGGGCTGGATCCAGTGACGCAACTCGGAAAACTGTTAGGGAAGCCAGAGCAGGAAAGTGAGTGGGAGGCGGCGGCGCCGCTTTAACCCACGTTTCCTTTTTGAAAGAGAAACCAGTGTTTCCCAACCTTTTTTGGACTCGCTCGCGGCACACCAGGCAACATCTCGTGGCACACTAGTGTGCCGCGGAACACCGGTTGGGAAACACTGTTCTAAGGAATGCACTCAGTTTGAATGGTGATATGCTAATATAGACCTATGTTAGCTTTCTCCAACCCAGTGCTCTGCAGGCCCAACCAATGTAGCTGTATTGGGGCTATTGGGAGTTGTACTTCAAACATCTGGAGGGCACCAGGTTGGGAAACTGCCTTATATGAACAGTATGTTTGTCCTTGAGTGGTACCCACAATTTTCCGCAGTGAACAGTTGCTCACTTGCAGATATGCAGAGGTTCCTTCGCAGGTAGTTCAGTGAAGCATTAGAGAATCCTTTCTCCGAATTTGTAAACCACTGTGGTGAATGCAAACAGCTACTTCATGTGGTGCATAAAAGGTACAGACAACTTCCTCACTACAAGGTAAAGGTAAAGGGACCCCTGACCATTAGGTCCAGTCGTGGCCGACTCGGGGGTTGCGGCACTCATCTCGCTTTATTAGCTGAGGGAGCCAGCGTACAGCTTTCGGGTCATGTGGCCAGCATAACTAAGCCGCTTCTGGCGAACCAGAGCAGCGCACGGAAATGCCGTTTACCTTCCCGCCGAGCGGTACTATTTATCTACTTGCACTTTGACGTTCTTTCGAACTGCTAGGTTGGCAGGAGCAGGGACTGAGCAACGGGAGCTCACCCTGTTGCGGGGATTCGAACCGCCGACCTTCTGATTGGCAAGACTTAGGCTCTGTGGTTTAACACTGAGCTTTCCAAACTTTTTACAGTGAGAGGGGTAAAGACTGGCATCTACTGGAGTTCATACCATGGACACATTATAAGGCACTCTCCCTATTACTGAAATATAGTTCAAGATAAGCTTTTAGTGATGAAATGGAATGTGATGAGGCAGTTGAGATAAAGTTATGGCTCACAGCTGATTAGTTAACGGGACACTGTCTCAAAATAAAATCTAACTTGTACTGACTACTAAACTGACATTCTGTGGATGCTTTTGCAGTAACATTTGTTGGCATTCAACTTAACGCAGCTCCTTCAAGATGGTTTATTGAGTTGAACGAGATGGAATGTGTTATTGAAAGGACACTCAACATTTGCACTTCATCCAGCTGCTTCCTTGTTCTGTCTTGCAATCAGATCTCTTGAGCCTCTTGATCTGTGCTTGGTGAATCTCTCCTCAGTAAAGGCTGTGTGTCCATGAGTTTTCTGGAAAGGAAAGCCAGCTTCGGAAAGCAAGGTGCCACAGAATTGGAAGCGTTGCAAATTAAATGGAATTACAGCCTAATTACGGCTTCCAGTGAATCTGGAAATAGATGCCTGGAAATAGCTGCTTTTAGTCCAAATATATACTCAATGCTTTTATTGTCCTTTTCCTTTGTTTCTTTCAGGTCTGCAATGAGAACTCCTTGTTCAAGAGCGAAGCTCGCTATCTGGTGCGCAGGAAAGATCCAGAACTGTGGGTAAACGTTCTGGAGGAAAACAATCCATTCAGGAGGCCGCTCATTGATCAGGTATAGCAAGTAGACTGGATTTGTACAAAATAGGTAGAATGTAGTGGTTGGTGACTGAGCAAGAAGAGAAACGTCATCTGTTCTTCAGCATTGTGCTCTGAAAAGGGTAGCAGTTGCCAAAGATCTTATGTAGTCCCTCATTTCCCATAGTTCTCCTCTAAATGAGTTCAGCCTTGCCCCTCTAATGCTCTATGCCTGCCTGCCCGCCTGCTTGCTCCATAAGAGTATCATTTGTTTTTCCCTTGTTTCTCTGCCTATTATTTTTTCTCTCCAAACACCCGTAAACCCTTCTTATTTTCTGGTGGGGAAGGCTGCTTGTGATTCTTTGTTAGATACATGCCAAGCAAGCCAAATAGTTTGATGCTTATACTCCTTCCAGACCCATCTATTTCCTTCATAAACTAAACTTTGTTCCTTGAAAGTTAAATGCACTCCTGCTCTCCTTTCCTAACTGGCTTCCTAAAACTAGGCTGCTAGTATGCTCTCTTCATGGAACTAGCAGACATTTGTTTTTGTTTTTTTAAAACATTCAGGTTGTCCAAACTGCATTGTCAGAAACACAGGATCCAGAGGAGGTTTCTGTGACTGTCAAAGCTTTCATGACAGCCGACTTGCCCAATGAGCTCATTGAGCTACTGGAAAAGATTGTTTTGGATAACTCTGTCTTCAGTGAGCACAGGTAGGAAAGGGAAGGCCCTCCCTCCCCACTACGCTAAATATGCATGGAAATGACTGTTATGTGCTAGGCTTCATAGTGTAAGGTTTGCTCTAAAATGGGTATACTATATATATATATACACTATATGCTATATATAGCAGGTCTGAAGCTCAACATCAAAAAAATGAAGATCATGGCCACTGGGCCCATCACCTCCTGGCAAATAGAAGGGGAAGAAATGGAGGCAGTGAGAGATTTTACTTTCTTGGGCTCCATGATCACTGCAGATGGTGACAGCAGTCACGAAATTAAAAGACGCCTGCTTCTTGGGAGAAAAGCAATGACAAACCTAGACAGCATCCTAAAAAGCAGAGACATCACCTTGCCAGCAAAGGTCCGTATAGTTAAAGCCGTGGTTTTCCCAGTAGTGATGTATGGAAGTGAGAGCTGGACCATAAAGAAGGCTGATCGCCAAAGAATTGATGCTTTTGAATTATGGTGCTGGAGGAGACTCTTGAGAGTCCCATGGATTGCAAGAAGATCAAACCTATCCATTCTGAAGGAAATCAGCCCTGAGTGCTCACTGGAAGGACAGATCGTGAAGCTGAGGCTCCAATACTTTGGCCACCTGACGAGAAGAGAAGACTCCCTGGAAAAGACCCTGATGTTGGGAAAGATTGAGGGCACAAGAAGAAGGGGACGACAGAGGACGAGATGGTTGGACAGTGTTCTCGAAGCTACAAACATGAGTCTGACCAAACTGCGGGAGGCAGTGGAAGACAGGAGTGCCTGGCGTGCTCTGGTCCAGGGGGTTACGAAGAGTCTGACTCGACTAAACAACAACAAATATATAGCAGAAGTAGTAGACCAGCCACTGCAAGCCTAATTGTCCACCCCCCTCAGCAGTTTCAGATGGGACCCTTCCCAATACAGTCATACCTCGGGTTACAGACATTTCAGGTTGCGTTTTTTCGGGTTACAGACACACCAAAACCCGGAAGTACTGGAACGGGTTACTTCCAGGTTTCGGTGGTTGCGCATGCACAGAAGCGCTAAGTCACTTTGCGCATGTGCAGAAGTGCTGAATTGCAACCCACGCTTGCGCAGACGCTGCGCTGTGGGTTGCGAACGCTGCGGGTTGTGAACGTGCCTCCCGCACAGATCACGTTCACAACCCAAGCGTTCATTGCATTTAGCTGTGGCAACACAATCATTTTTTTTATTATCTTGGCTGTTGCCCCATCCTCCTTGCCCTTTGCTTCAAGATGTTTCATGAGGCTTTTCTTATGATTGAGAATGGAACTTAGCTGTGTTGGTCTGCTTGGCGTTATCATTTGGAACTGCAAGGGAAGTCAGCTGTGTTGAGGGCTGTTGTCTCAGGGGCCCTGAAATGGGGGACCCCAAATACTTTTTCCATTGGGGTCAAGCAGAATGCAGCGCTGGAAAAGGCATTTCCCCTCTTCTCCAGTGCACTTAGCGACATAAAGCAGCTGGTATATGCACACTTAATCTTCTGGCATAACACAGCAAGAAGAGTGAGACATCGTAGATCTAATGTACTATTTATTTACACACTATGTACAGATCAAGGCATAATGGCGTCCGTTCTTTCCAGCTCTGAGAAAACAAACAAAAATAAAAGTGAAAGTACAGTGTAATAGTACCCGCAGTGGAAGCGATAAGACTTCTTCCTTTCCCAGAGTTGTCCCAGACAGGCATGTGATTTACAACAATCTCATCTGCAGCATCAGAGGAGTGAAATTGCTAACAGTTTCCTTGTAAATAGAGGCAACAGTGGTGCATAGCTTGCTGCGAAGACGTTTGGACTGTGAATAATAATAGCAATAAATAATGAGTGATTTATTATTATTATTATATGCTGCCCATCTGACTGGTTTGCCCCAGCCACTCTTGGTGGCTTTCAGCAGATTAAAACATCAGACAGAGTAAAACATCAATCCTTAAAAACTTCCCTAAACAGGGCTGCCTTCAGGTGTTCTAACAGTCGGATAGTTGTTTATTTCCTTGACATCTGATGGGAGGGCGCCACTACTGAAAAGGCCCTCTGCCTGGTTCCCTCTCACCTCACTTCTCACAGTGAGGGAACCGCCAGAAGGCACTCGGCGCTGGATCTCAGTGTCCGGGCTGGGTGATGGGGGCAGAGACACTCCTTCAGGTATACAGGGCATCCTGAAACACGCATCTTGTTTCAGTTGCTCAGCAAATTTTTACTGAGTATCAAGTGTTTTGTGAATCAGCATACAAAATTGAGTACATGGCAGCTTTTCAAAACACGAGTTTGGTATGAATTTTAAATTTAGGAGTCTCTATCCTCTGTAGGAGGGACACGGGTGGCGCTGTGGGTAAAAGCCTCAGCGCCTAGGGCTTGCCGACCGAAAGGTCGGCGGGTCGAATCCCTGCGACGGGGTGGGCTCCCGTTGCTCGGTCCCAGCGCCTGCCAACCTAGCAGTTCGAAAGCACCTCCGGGTGCAAGTAGATAAATAGGGACCGCTTACTGGCGGGAAGGTAAACGGCGTTTCCGTGTGCGGCTCTGGCTCGCCAGATGCAGCTTTGTCACGCTGGCCACGTGACCCGGAAGTGTCTCCGGACAGCGCTGGCTCCCAGCCTCTAGAGTGAGATGAGCGCACAACCCTAGAGTCTGTCAAGACTGGTCCGTACGGGCAGGGGTACCTTTACCTTTACTATCCTCTGTAGGCTTGGGAAGGTAGCACAGATGAATCAAGAGGGCTGCTTACAATAAATACAACAAATAAACCAATTACTTATTAAAGAGACAAAGAGCCAATAAAATATTAATGGATTTGTTAAATTAAATATTAATGAATTCTTACTGAGCTTTTGGCCCTCTGCCACTCTCGCTTTCACACTTGGCCTCTCTGCACAAGGAGAAATGTACCAATGTGGCTCTTGTGCTGAAAATGGCTAGCCATCTCAGTTATATAGTGTGACAGGCCACAACCCTGCTCATTTTTCTATTATGTTGTGAAGTTGCATTGACTTCAGCTGCTAGAAGCTAGTTTTGGTTTCAAGTTAATAAATGCTCACTTTTAAAACTGGTTACTGTTGCCCACACGTAGTTGTCTTTTATTCCTGCGTAACTCCTAAAATACTCTTACGCAAACTCTGCAGGGAAGCCTGCTAGTTGAATCTACTTCTTGACTATTTCATTCTTTGCCCTTAAAAGGAATCTTCAGAATCTCCTAATACTGACGGCCATTAAAGCAGACCGAACACGCGTGATGGAGTATATAAACCGCCTAGACAACTATGATGCCCCAGATATTGCAAATATTGCTATTAGCAATGAGCTGTACGAAGAAGCTTTTGCCATCTTTCGGAAATTCGATGTGAATACTTCTGCAATTCAGGTGAGGCTCAGTACAGATCGACAGCTAGTGTGTCTCGCAGAGACCTCCCTTGACCTAGAAAATTAAATATTGTAATGGTTATGCATGAAACATCAGCAAAATGTAGCACACTTGAATGTTTATATCAGGCATAGGCAAACTTGGCCCTCCAGATGTTTTGGGACTACAACTCCCATCATCCCTAACAGGACTAGTGGTCAGGGATGATAGGAATTGTAGTCCCAAAACTAGAGGGCCGAGTTTGCCTATGCCTGGTTTCTATACCTGAAGAGCAAGAAGGGAGTCTAACTTCAAGAATGAGTGACAGTGGCTGTTTCCTTGGGTGTATTGGGTAGATTTATATAAACCTGTTCAGTGATGTCCGAGGCTTTGCCAGAAACTGTCATCACCTACATGAGCTGCTGAACTCCCCCCCCCCCTTCCTCAAGATGGCAAGCTTTCTATTTGCCCGGTAAATCCACTAGATGTATACAAATATATGCAGCACTGGATGAATGGGGAGAGGTTGTGCCCATATAATGCAACAGTCTATGGAACACTGCTTTATACAGTGGTACCTCTGGATACGAATTTAATTTGTTCTGGGGGTCCATTCTTACCCCGAAAATTTGCATCCAGAGGCGCCTGTTCTGCGCATGCGCAGGCAGCGGAAACCGTTCCATTACTTCCAGGTTTGCTGCGTGCGTAGCCCGAAACATTTGCATCCAGAGGTGTTCGTAACTAGAGGTACCACTGTATATAAAATCTGAACCCTCGCTATATGAACACTGCTTCATGTATAAATTGTCAGATTCAGTGATTTGTTGTGTGTTTTTAAAGGATTATGTTACTTTATGCATTTTATTTGTTTACACAAGCCACAGGGTGGTTTTCATCAGCGTAAAGGACAATGTATAAACCATCTAACTAAACAAAAGATTCTAGTGATGTTCTAAGGTGGTTTGGGCTTTGTACCTTTTTCTAGACTTGAATCATTCTTCATTTTCTTTTTCTTTCTCTCTCCCCACCCCACCCCACCCAAACTCTCTGTGGTGCCCACTGGACATTTATTGAGACTTTCATTTTGTTAACCTCTCCTAGGTGTTGATAGAACACATTGGCAACTTGGATCGTGCTTATGAATTTGCCGAGAGATGTAATGAACCAGCAGTTTGGAGCCAGCTGGCCAGAGCACAGCTCCAAAAGGACTTGGTGAAGGAAGCCATAGATTCTTACATAAAGGCTGACGATCCTTCTGCCTACATGGAAGTTGTCCAGGCAGCCAACAGAAATGGTAAGCTCAAATGTTTCTTTTCACTTAGCAGGACGTGGTAATTTTAATCCTTGCTCGGTTAGCGGAAATCCTTTGGGAAGACCATCATTTGACAAAGCTGGATTGTATAAAACATCCCCATGCCAGATCTCTTCAGTATGTACCTCTAATTCTGAAAGGGTTGCATGGTAATAAATAGAAATGTGTTAAGTTTGTTTAAAAACACTGATAAAAGGTACTTCAGATAAATGAATTACTAGAATATCCATCCTGTTTAGGATCGGTATTTCAGTACAGTATACATAAAATCTCATTGTACTGCTGAGAGGTGGAGCATATTGTTGCTTCTTTGCGAGTGTAGTGAACAAAAAAAACTAAACTAAAGTCAAGGGAACTAATTTATCTTTATCCTCTTCTTTCCCCTCGCCTGCTTCTTAAGATAACTGGGAGGATCTGGTTAAATTTTTACAAATGGCTAGGAAAAAAGCAAGGGAATCTTACGTCGAGACTGAACTTATATTTGCCTTGGCAAAAACTAATAGGCTCTCGGAGCTAGAAGAGTTTGTCAGCGGCCCCAACAACGCTCACATACAGCAGGTATGTTTTCTACTTAAATGCTAGCACTTCCAGCTAAACTAACTTCTGTCCTGGATTTTGAAATACGCCAACTCCAGCTTTTGTGCCCCACAGCATTCCTTCACTGCCACAAACTCTTCCTCTTTAGGTTGGCGATCGCTGTTATGAGGAGGGCATGTACGATGCGGCCAAACTTCTCTACAACAATGTGTCTAACTTTGCTCGCCTGGCATCTACGCTGGTTCATCTTGGGGAGTACCAGGCAGCTGTTGATAGTGGCCGCAAAGCCAACAGCACCAGGACGTGGAAGGAGGTAACTCGTTTTGTGCTGCAAGGGAAATTATTAAGACTAGCAGTTAAAGATTTCGACACAACCTAATGGCCGCTGTTTAAAAAAACCAACCACCCTAGTGCAAAAGGCAATACCTTTTTTAGAGCATCAATTGCATCTTCTGTTCTGAACTGCAGGACCAAAGGGAGGGCTTGTGGGAGTGGTTAGGTGCAGGGATACCAAAGAAGGATGCTAAGAACATCAGAATGGCCTGTTCTAGTGCTTTATTAAAGAAGGTATGGATTCACAGCAAAGCAGCCTGCCAGTTCTCAAAGCCTTTGCAGATGCAGGGTGGACATAGCAGCAAGAAGATGGTTTGTCCGCACCCAAGCCAACGTGCATACAATCTTTATACACAAAGCAGCATACGTCACTTTGTCTAGGACCTCCCAACACTTCACCTGCCCAGATGAGGGCATAGGTGGCAAATACCCAGGTCTTACAGATAGCTCCCCTTTCTGGGCTCAGAGCCCAGCACCCCCGAGTGCAAGGATAAGGATAACATCCAAGTGAGCCAATTAGCTTATATCAAAGCAAGTGAATAAACATATATGAGCTCATTTCTGCAACCACTACCAATTAATCATGGGGTTATCTTGACTACCAAGATGGTGCTAGCAAAGCTTCTGGAACAGTCCACATGAGGGTCAACACAACCTTCATACCTACTTTATGGAAAATATTTCAGATCAATGTCCATGTGGGGGACTGGCTCAAATCCTGATCTAAGGGATATAAGGTATTTGGGCAAGTTGACTTGTAACGCAGTTTGCTAACAGCATTTTTTGTTTCCCACTTGCAGGTGTGCTTTGCATGTGTGGATGGAAAGGAGTTCCGGCTTGCGCAGATTTGTGGCTTACACATAGTAATCCATGCTGATGAGCTTGAAGAGCTGATCAGCTATTATCAGGTTGGAGTCCTTCAACTGTTTGAAAAGTGTAAAATGCCCCTGGCTGCTTGTTTGCAGCAGTGCTATTATAGTATTTAAAACCCGATGCCCCACCTTTCCTCCAAAAAGCTTAAGACAGCTAACGCAAGCAAAAAGATCCATAGTATTTATGGCTTAAGTTAATGTTAATTGATATCCAGTATGTACAGGGCTAAAGCCAGGTGTACATCTCTAGAAAACTGCAGCTGGAGGAATTAATGTTATGCCACGAGTTTTCTTTGCTTCAGTAGAATATTCTACACATTCATAAGGAGGCTAGAGAACCACTTCAAATGGCCGTGCCAAGGTGTGTCATCAGTGTGTCATACTCTAAATGTTGGGCCTTCTAGTTCCCAGCTGCTGATTCATATTAAATGGCCCACATACCTTATCCTTCACCTTATGAACAAGCTCCTACAATGGTACCTTGGTTTTCGAACGTAATCCGTTCCGGAAGACAGTTCTGCTTCCAAAACGTTTGAAAACCGAGGTGCAAAGAGCCTTGCAGAGGTGACCTGCAATTTCAGTGGGGAAAATTGGGGGGGGGGACACAGCAAAAGCCGTTCTACTTCCGAGGTGCGTTCGAAAACGGAAGCATTTCCTGCTGGGTTTTTGGCATTCGAAAACCAAAACGTTCTGCTTCCGAAACGCTCGAAAACTGAGGTACTACTGTACTACTGACTTTCGAATGTTGCCTAAAGGTATTTAGAACATCCTATATCTAAGTTAAACGGTCTCTTCTGCAATCTTTTTAATACATTCCGTCTTCAAGCATTATTACTGGTTTTAAAATTGCAAGGCTTTTTCGTCTTTCTTTGCAAGTGAGGTATATGCTTCTTAAACATGCTGTGGTCTTTAACCCTAGGATCGCGGATACTTTGAAGAGCTGATTGCCCTCTTAGAAGCTGCTCTGGGCCTCGAGCGTGCCCACATGGGGATGTTCACTGAACTTGCCATCTTGTACTCTAAATACAAACCTCAGAAGATGAGAGAGCACCTGGAATTGTTTTGGTCCAGAGTCAACATTCCCAAGGTATTTGACAGTATACCTGCAATGGAGTCAATCATGTAACACAAATTATTTAAAAGTTTTTTGTTTGTTTTTTTAAATGCCACTTGCTCTGCTTTCCTAGCAACAAAAATGCATGTCAATTCAAATAAAATAAAAACCGTAGTGGACACAGAAAAAAAAGTCATAGGACAAGGCTAATATCCAAAGACATTATAGAAGAAAAGTTTTTACTGTGGAAAGCTGGGAGTGAGGGGGCCAGGTGAATATTGAGGGCAAGAGGAGTGGGCAGTTCCTGAGGGAAATGGATACAAGATCCTGACCTGCTTAGTTACCCACCTTCTGATTTCCACAAGCAAGACAATGCAGAAGGTGGCACCCAGCGGTGGAATACTGGGCAAGTTGATGTGGATAGAAGTAGTTCTTCAGATATCTTGGCCTCAGGCTATTTAAGGCTTGTACTGTCGAAAATTGCATACTTTAATTAGGCCACCAATTAAACAGAGCGAGTGTCCTGAACTCTTGCTTTTCAGCAGACTCTCCTTAAACTATTGCTTTGGCTACTGCCTGATTTGTACCTTACCTTTCCTCTCGCCACAAGGTGCTTCGGGCAGCGGAACAGGCCCATCTTTGGGGAGAGCTGGTTTTCCTCTACGACAAATACGAAGAATATGACAACGCAATAATTACAATGATGAACCACCCTACCGATGCATGGAAGGAAGGGCAGTTCAAGGACATAATTGCAAAGGTAAGCAGCTGTAATGGTAACAACTCCTCAGCTTTGACCCCAAAACATGCTGAGTTTCACACCGGTTCAGGTATTCAGATCTGTTGGTGTGTCTTGAAAACCCAGCGGGTGGCCAAGGGACTATAAGACATGGCCAAATCTTCCTGTGGCAGAAACACCATACATCATTCAGCTTCTTTATAATACATCCTGATTTTCTAATGTTGCTTCTCTGAGAAACAGGAGCTTATGCACCCTCATCCAATCCATTATTGCCAGACACAGTTTTAGCACCAAAACAGCTTCCTCAGATTTAGATGGAAAGAAGAGGGAGAGAGTTGGGTATCATCTGCATACTGGTGGCACTGAACCTCAAAGCACCAGGCAAGCTCTCCCAGCAGTTTCATGTGGTTTTGACAACTATTAACTCTTTAGTTAATAGGAGAGCCAGTGTGGTGTAGTGGTTAAGAGCGGTAGACTCGTAATCTGGTGAACTGGGTTTGCGTCTCCGCTCCTCCACATGCAGCTGCTGGGTGACTTTGGGCTAGCCACACTTCTCTGAAGTCTCTCAGCCCCACTCACCTCACAGTGTGTTTGTTTTGGGGGAGGAAGGGAAAGGAGAATGCTTTGAGACTTCTTCTGGTAGTGATAAAGCGGGATATCAAATCCAAACTCTTCACTTTATCCAGCCCAACAGGGCATCGGACATACATCACTTCTTAGGTACACTTAAGTTAGCAACTGTGATTCCATTTTCTGAGGATGGCAGCATGATAAAGCTTGCAGATTGATTTATTTATTTGCTCTAACTTTTTTTATACTGCTGTGCAGAGCTGTTAAAGACTCTTGAGCACCAAATAAGAGGGTCATAGTTAACTAAATGCTGTTTGTTAAATCACTTTCAGGGGCAGCCAATTACCTCACAGCTTGAATTTGTTCTCTAGGTGGCCAATGTGGAGCTGTATTACAAAGCGCTGCAGTTTTACTTGGATTATAAACCACTGCTGATCAATGATCTCCTCCTGGTATTATCTCCAAGGCTGGATCACACCAGGACGGTCAGCTTCTTCTCCAAGGTGAGTTAGAGGAGGCACAAATTTAAAATGGGCTAAATTACATACTTCTCTTGAAGACCTTTCCATTTCAAATTGTACATTCAAGGCAAAAGGGGTTTCATCTTTTATCATGCCAAGACATAATAAATAATAAATAATATAATTTTATTATTTAAACCCCACCCATCTGGCTGGGTTTCCTTAGACTAACTTTTTCCCCTGTTTCCAAATCCTCTTGTTGCACACATAAATTTGTATAAAATGACTTAAGGTCTTAAATTGTGGATATACCATTTGTTCCAATAAGGATTTGTTTTGGGAGATGACTAGTTTCTAGGGTTTAATGTTACTTAAATTAGGTGGGCCCTGTTACCTTAGAGATGTACTTTGTGGGAGGCCCTTCAGCAAGAACAACTCTTTGCCTAAACAATTGCATTGCCCCTAGGTTAATCAGCTGCCTCTAGTGAAACCTTACCTGCGCTCAGTCCAGAATCATAATAATAAAGGAGTCAATGAAGCGCTGAACAATCTTCTGACAGAGGAGGAGGACTACCAGGTGAGTTTCTGGGAACAGCGATTATGGCATTTTTCTATAGAAGCATAATTATGGTATGTATGCAAAATGACCGCATAATTCATTATTTTAAAATGCTTAACCTTTGTATCAGCTCCATACATTCCTCTTCAGCCAGGCCTTTGGTTGATTAATTAATATTCAGTGGCCTTTTAAATGTGTTTGTGGGAGGGGGGGTTATTATTAATTTTTGTTGTAACTATTTTGTGCTTTTACCCTGTATTTTTTATCTCGTGAACTGCCCTGAGATCTTCAGAATGAAGGGCAGTATATAAATTAAATAAATAAGCAAATAAATAAATTAACACACACACACACCCAATTTGCCCAGAAGGCCCTTTGGCTGAAAAATGTTCCCCATCACTGCCTTAAACAGATCTGAGGTCAGTGGTTTTAAGTGCGTGCAGAGTAGTTTCTGATGTAAATCTGTAGCCCGCTACTTAAAGCCCATGGGAGAATATCCTTTGTGTTTTGCTGTGTTCAGAAGCTTCGAGGGAATCTTCCAGTCACCTCCGTGATACAGCACTGTAGGCTTAGCATCGCTTGTAGCAATTTAACTCGCTCCTCCATGTGCCTGACTATAACTTTCTCCCCCTTCCAATAGGGCTTGCGAGCATCCATTGATGCTTACGACAACTTTGATAACATTACACTGGCTCAGCGTCTAGAGAAACATGAGTTGATTGAATTCAGACGCATTGCCGCTTACCTGTACAAAGGCAATAACAGATGGAAGCAGAGTGTGGAGCTCTGCAAGAAAGATCGCTTATATAAGGTCTGTTTTTGTTTAGCGTTGTTAGTTCCTCCTTGTATGTACTGGGAGCACGTGGGATGGAATTTTAAACAATTTTTTTATTGTAAAAGCCTGCAGAAGATGAAGCAGTCCTACACCTGTTTTTGTGCCTATGCATCCTGCTCTAGCATCCTGCTAGAGAGAGTCAATGTGGTGTAGTGGTTAAGAGCGGTAGACTCGTAATCTGGTGAACCAGGTTCGCTTCCCTGCTCCTCCACCTGCAGCTGCTGGGTGACCTTAGGCTAGTCACACTTCTCTGAAGTCTCTCAGCCCCACTCACCTCACAGAGTGTTTGTTGTGAGGGAGGAAGGGAAAGGAGAATGTTAGCCGCTTTGAGACTCCTTAGGGTAGTGATAAAGTGGGATATCAAATCCAAACTCTTCATGCATGAGAAGTCTGACGTAGTTACTTCATGGCTCTAAATAAGTTTCATGGTGTTCTGTAGGATGCTATGCAGTATGCCGCAGAATCCAAAGATGCTGAGCTGGCAGAGAAACTGCTTCAGTGGTTTCTGGAAGAAGACAAGAAAGAGTGTTTCGCAGCTTCTCTCTTCACATGTTACGACTTGTTGCATCCGGACGTGGTCCTTGAGCTGGCATGGAGGCACAACATTATGGACTTTGCGATGCCTTATTTTATCCAGGTGATGAGGGAGTACCTGACCAAAGTAAGTGTGGCTTCTCTAGAAAAGCTTGTTGCTTTGATCTCGAGTCCTGGGTGACATGCTTCAAATTTTGCCTTTAAATGACCTGGCAAAACATTTCCGTTACTGAATTGCTTTAAATGCCATATTGCGAATGGTGGGGTGGAGACTTACAGGATTCCTGAGATCCAGCCTGAAAAAATGAAGGGAACTACAAAAAGAACTACCGTATTTTTCTCCCTATAGGACGCAACGTCCCATAAGGCGCACCTAGTTTTTTGGGGGGGAAATAAAGGGAAAAAAATTATTTCCCCCCAGGCGCGGGTGCTGGGGCGTGGGAAGCCCGAGCTTCCCCCGACCCCAGCCCCCAAACAGGCAGCTCTCTGCAAGCCGTGGGAGCCCAGCGCTGGCTCCCGCTGCTTGCTGAGAGGTCCGCGAAGCCTGGACGCGCTGAACTCGGCGCGCACAGGCTTCAGCATGCAGGCAACTCTCCAGCGAAAGCCTGCATTCGCCCCATAGGACGCACACACATTTCCCCTTCATTTTTGGAGGGGAAAAGGTGCGTCCTATAGGGCAAAAATACGGTAGCTCTTCGCATACATTTTCTGGAACTTGCCAACACCTAGTTAGTAGATTTACTCTTTTTTATTATTTTATTTTTATTCTCCCACTACAGATGGCCAGACACACTAGCCAAAACTTCTCCTGGCTGCTCCCATTGCCGCTAAAACTTAAGATTTAAGTTTTTTTTCATGAAGAAGTTGATCTCTGTTCTTTTTCACTTTTAAACATTTGGACTACTTCACTTTTACTAGCTCACTTGACTGAAACACTTTCTTTTAGATGCTTTTCCCTACTTGGAATACAGTGTTTTGGAAACTAATGTGCTCACACGCTTCTCTCCGTGAGCCGCATGGATCTGCTGTTTCCCTTTTATTCTTTTGACTGCCTGTAAAAAAGGCCCCAGGGTGGGATGCTGAAAGCTGCCTGGATCTTGGAGGTCTGTAACTGATAGCCATGTATTTCAGGCCAGAGGGACTACTTACATACTCATCCTTTTTGTAAGCACCTGGATATTAAAATAATAATAATTTTCCGCTAGAATAAAGCAAGATCAAAAGAGCAGCAGCAAAAATCTGGTTATCCCTTTGCCCTTCCCCACATCAGCCCATTGTAGTTACTGGTACTTTCATTAATTTAGTGTTCAAGCCTATTGATGTATGGCAAGTACAGTGTAGATTTTGGATTTGTGCAAGACAACCCTTTTAATAGGTCATCTCTGAAACTGCATTGCGGATTAAGTATTGTAATGCTAAGTAAGCTTTCCTGTGTATAAACTTATCACTTTTGTGTTAGGTAAAATATTGGCTTCCCATAGGTTTAAATGCTGAGTATGCTTCTTTTCTGTGTGGGTCTCCTTTCCTGTTTCTCCCTGCAAACTCCCCTGCCCATGTTTGTGTGATCTTTGCTTTTTCTTGAAATTGATTTTCTGGCTTATTGATTTTAAGTATTCCCCTCTGAATTTTCTTGCAGGTTGATGGTCTGTTTAATAAGGTGACCGTTGCTCTGGTTTTACATTGGCTTTTTAAATTTGTGTCCCTAAAACGTATCTAAGGCTATTTGGGAGTCTTAACTGTAGCTTTTGCTGAAAAGCAGAATAATCTAGCTTTGGTCTAACTAATACCATAGTAAATATCTCTTCCACAGTAGCTTGGGGAAAATCCAACCAGACCTAGCTTGCTGTGTGCCCGCTAGCTGCAAAGTAGGTCAGAATTCAGTTGTTTTAGGCACGGCAGCCAAATTTTCATCTTTAAGATGCTTATCTGCCTCCAGTGCCTCCAGTTATTTGGGAAAGTTTGCATCTGAAATGTCCAAATCTAATGCAATATCAAGGTAGTTGAGGCTTCCCATGGTGGCCTAGTAAGGCCCTAACAAGCTAGTCTTGGGGGGCCAAAATGTGTAAAATGAAGTTCTAATAATAATCCCTTTTTTTACACTTGGGATATAACTGAGTCTTAGATCTGATGAGCGCTACCATGCTCTTGTCAAGCTGAACTCTGGTTGGATTTTACAAGTGGCAAGTGTCTACTAAATAATTCAGTCTTCCAGAAAGAGCATGCATGAAAAGACTGCTTTTAAAATAAGAACTAATCTAGTACATGGAGGTAGTAATTAATTGGAGAACGAATTTCCCCATTTTTAATGTAAATAATTGTTTTAACTCCCCTCATGTGTACCTAACAGCAAGATGTGCATCCCTGTACCAAAATACATGCCTCCTATTAACAACCTTTTGAACACCCTTAAAAAAGGTAGGGATAGAAACCGATATCCCAGGAGATAACAAAGGTGGATATGCAAGAGGCTGTAGGTGGAAGATGCATCCCAGATCTGACGGGAACTACCTCTTGGGTGTGGGGAGGAGGAGAACTTAGGATCAGATTCCTGGGCCAGCAGCCTTTAACATCCAGTAGGAGTGCTGCAGCTTCTGCTGTGAAGGTATTACTATTCTGTTGACAGACCCATCGTCGATTGGTTGAGTGGGTGGGCAGATGCCATACTTGTAAGATCAGAATAAAGCCATTAATAGCAGCTTCCAAGAGGAAAGTTGCTGCAAATGCAAAAACTAAGTACAGTGGTACCTCTGGTTAAGAACTTCATTCGTTCTGGAGGTCCGTTCTTAACCTGAAACTGTTCTTAACCTGAAGCACCACTTTAGCTAATGGGGCCTCCCGCTGCTGCCGCGCTGCCGGAGCACGATTTCTGTTCTCACCCTGAAGCAAAGTTCTTAACCTGAGGTACCATTTCTGGGTTAGCGGACAGTGTAACCTGAAGCGTCTGTAACCTGAACCGTATGTAACCCGAGGTACCACTGTAGCAGCTAAGGAAACTAGACATATCCTATTCAGTTTCAAGCCAGTAGGTAAACAGTGTCTGGCAGCTTTTATGAGGTAATCTTGAATATTTAGCTTAGCAAAAGTTAGTATTGCTGTTGGGGTTAAACCCAGGATATAGTTTCCGCCCCACCCCCCTTTTAGCTTGAATATTTTTATAGTGTTGGAATATAACAGCAACCAAGAAAGCTTAGATTCCTCCTCTTAATGGGACCGATTATGTTAGCAATAGTACCGGGGTTCCTGTCCAGAGAAGAGTATCCTTTTTGGGGGGGGGGTTAATGTCATCCAAAAATGGGAAATTCAAGTGCACCATTAAAACTCCTGCAATACAATAAAATTGAAAGGAATGCTGCCCAAGTGTACCAAGACATGAAACGGCAAGAATCCCAAGAAATTCTGGCCTTCACACAGTGGCAGGAACCTATTGACTGGTATTACAACCCTGCCTTTTACATAGGAATCGCTTACAGAAGTGAACTGTAATTGAAAAATGTAACGGCAGCCTGGTCCCTGGGTAAGACAGAACTAGACTGAGGAGTTTATGCTCCCATCCAAGAGAATCCAACTGCTCTTCAGCTGTCTGGCTTAGCAAAAAGCTAACCATCTTCCAGTCTTGGAAATGCTTCCTCTTGAGTAAACTTCAATATTTAAGCTGCTCTAAGCAATGATGGTGACATTACAGTGGTACATGGAGTGGTTAAGGAGACATGCTGGCATGACAGCTTGAACCTAAACAGACTTTTCTGGTATGGCTTTAAATTTCCAGGAACTTGCCTTCCAGTCCAAAGCAAAGTGAAACCTCATTGTAATGGCAGCTGTTAATGTTGCTTGCAATGTATTTGCAGAAACCCCACTAATTGGCCTGGCAGCTCGAATGGACTTGCCGATCAGAAGGTCGGTGGTTCAAATCCCCGCGATGGGGTGAGCTCCCGTTGCTCGGTCCCTGCTCCTGCCCACCTAGCAGTCCGAAAGCACGTCAGAGTGCAAGTAGATAAATAGGTACCACTCCAGCGGGAAGGTAAACGGCGTTTTCGTGCACTGCTCTGGTTCTCCAGAAGTGGCTTAGTCACGCTGGCCACATGACCTGGAAGCTGTACACCGGCTCCCTTGGCCAGTAAAGCAAGATGAGCACAGCAACCCCAGAGTTGGCCACGACTGGACCTAATGGTCAGGGGTCCCTTTACCTTTACCTTCTTTGGGGTAACTGTATGTTGGGGTAACTGTACTATCAACTGTATGTTGATAGTAAAACCAGACCGCAATGTCCGTAAAATGCCCATCAGATTCTATAGGTAAGGGACACTTTCTTCCAATGAGTAGAGATGTCCAGGTCCTCATCTACACAACATGGGGTGAGGACTTGCTTGTCACGTCTGGCCTTGCCTCCTGTTTGCATAAGCCAAAGAAGCCTTTGAAGTATCACGTTTCCCCTTGACCAACTGGGAACTCTGTTCAGAATGCAGGCAGAGAAGGGGACCGTGCTGCTCTTTGCTCCCCCTGCCCACTCCAAATAATAAAAAGCTGGTTTGGGGAAGAGGAGAAGCTTAACAATGCATCAAGTGTGCTGCCTACGTCTCTCTATCTTTATCACTCCATGTCTGATGGCTAGGTCACCCAGTGCTAGTGGTACACTGTTGCCCCTATCCCAGTAAAGCACATTTTGGGGGAAAGCAGGAATGAATGCCATAGCCATTGACTTATGGGTGGGAGGAAGTAACAACATGCACTCAGAGACACTATTGGTGTGAGGATTAAGCTTGCCCCTGGTGAACTTCATGCCCAGTACAAGAAACACGTTTCACCTCCCTATAGCTGTCCAGATTTTTTATTTTTTCAGTGCTTTGCCAATTTGTCCTAAGGGACCATTGAAATAAGTTACGGGCTCATTGGGTTAGCTCTGGGTTCTGTTGCTTGATGGAATGTGGGAACTGGCTCTTGCAGGTAACGGGTGTTTTGAAAAGTGAATCTAGTCCGAAGCTCCCTGCGACTTAATTGTTCTGCGAACTTGACCATGCATTTTTGCTTGTGCCACGGGCCATCCTATTAAAGAGCTGATCTCTGGCAGTTGAGCAAATGCTGAAACTGGACTTATTTCTGAAAGTAGGAAGTTGTGCTAGATCCGCTGACACGTTGAGACATAAATATCTTTAAATGAAAGCTGGAACGGAAACACTTGGGAGGGGGGTCGCAGAACTCGGGCGCTAAGAAGTTCCTTCATGAGAGTTTCCTTTCACTTTACAACTTAGGTGGATAAACTTGATGCTTCTGAAAGCCTAAGGAAAGAAGAGGAACAAGTAACTGAACCCACTCCAATAGTATTTGGTAGGTGAAGACTTGCTTTCTTTTTGTTAGGCCCTCAACTGAGAAGCGTTTCCAGAAATCCCAAGTATTTGTACTTAACAAACCCTCCGTGTGTCAATGCTGAACTAGAAGAACTTGAGATTTCTTCATAGGATCTAACTAAAAATCTGTTGCTGCCAGTGACTGCCATGTTGTCATCACAATATAATTCAAGATAACGGTGTTTAAGAAGAAATCTAGTTTATGTTAGGTTTTCTCTAGCTGTCCTGGAAGCAGCCATTCAGCACAAATTGTTTACAAAAGTAAACTGACTTAAAGAGGGCTTACTTCCTAGCAATTCTCTCTAGGATTGCAGCCTTTACAGATCCTGGATGCTTTTCAAAGAGGTTTATTGGACACACACACACACACACACACACACACACACACACTATGAACCAGTGTTGGGATAGAACAGCTATGCTTTTAAAATCATTTCTCATTTATATGATCCATGAGTGGAGGCTGAACTAGGCAGATCCTGCTCCTGAAAACTTGGAAGAAATTGCATGGTTGTAGAAAAGGGTGCGGGTGTACAAACGAAGTCCCATAGATATGGAATATTACACTACATTTGGCTCTCGGCCTTTTTTTTCCAGTAGAAAACACCCTCTCTAGTTAAAATGTTTTGCCATTTCAAGAAGTGCAGTATCTCCAGATGGGCAAGGGTGTTCTTAGTACGTCAACTATGGTAGGGGGGAACCTTCCTTTCTGTGGGTGGCAAGACTCTCTGAGATTAAATCTTCTGGAAAAACAGAATCCCATTAAGGGAGAAAATGGTGCTTCTATTCCAGAAATGTGTAAAAAGTCTTTATTTTGGCAAAAGGTAGACTTTATTGACAATTGCATTCTAGGTCCCTCCATTAAAGGAAGTTCATGATGACGAGGTCAGTTCTCTACTGGGAATGGTTTTCAATGGGAGTTCAGTTTTCCCATGCATGAGGCATGCGTAGTTTTTTAGTAGAGTTTTAACAAATGTGTGTCTGGTCTGTGGCAGAATTAATAAGCATAGGCTGGGGAAATACGACTAACAGAATCTAACTGCAACGTGTTTAAAACTCTCGGCTGTACAAATGTATATCGTATGGGGTTTTTGTTTGAACTTTGAAAGATTCTCTGAATGTAGTTTTTTCAGGACCTAATAGGTGCCAGACAATTGAAACAAAATCCTGACTCAGTCACTACTTCACCGCAGGGAAGGAGCAGGGAGGCATTTACTATTTAAAAAAAAACCAGAACCCCTGAGCTATTTTTATATCATATGGGAGTTGTTCATTCAAGGATTTCTCAGGAAGTCTTGGCTGTTTCCCAGTCATGAAAAGGGGGCAGGCGGCTCAAACATGCGGCTACACTGGAATTTCGAGAACTGTCCCTTGTAAGTCTGCCCTTCTTTTAAATCTGGAAGGGCCTTAGTTCATCAGTAGAACCATTGGGGGCATTCAACAACGCAGACCTATTGAAATTACCAGCCCTAACATAAGCCATGTTCATTAACTGGGTCTCCTCTGAGTAAAACCCACCAATTACATTTGTTACCTCTCCCAAGGAGCTTCCTGTCCTCCCCATTCTGATCCTTGTAAAGTAAATCGGAGGCGGAGGTTTTCTCAGGTCGCTCAGTTTCATGTCTGAGTGGGGGGGAGGATTCGAACCTGCATCTTCCACAATCATAGTCCGGGATCCGAGCAATTGCACCACGCTGGTTCTCAACACCACACAGGAGAGACTCCAGGTTCAGTCCTTTTGACTTTGCCAGCTTAGGAGTCAGTTCTGGAGAAAGACTCCTCACCTGAGATCTTGGAGCTACTTCCAATTAGATTAGACAGTATTTACAGCTGTTGTTTTTTAAATCCTGTAAACCACGCTGTGATCCGCTGGTGAAGGTCAGTATCTGAATTTAATAAAAAATATATTTACAGAGAAATAAAGATGGGCAAATAGTCTAACATAGTATAAGGCAGCTTCGTGTGACGTTAGAGCTGGAAATGTACCTTTTGCTTTTTCTGTTTGTCTTCTTTAAAAACAGACAAACACACCCCTGCATTTTGAACTGGGATTTGTTGGGTTCTGTGGGCTGGGGTATGCAAAAGGCCTTACCTTCCAAGTGACTTAAACGGACCCCCCCTTGTCTTTCTTCCAGGCCAGCAGCTGATGCTAACGGCAGGCCCAAACGCAGTACCTCCACAGGCAAACTTCCCCTATGGCTACACGGCGCCAGGATTCACCCAGCCACCAGTTTACGGTTTCAATATGTAACTCGCGCTGCGAGACCTTTAACCGTCTTGGATCATCATCTTCCCGTCCCTCTTTTTTTTTTACTTTTTCTCCAAGAAGGCACAGATGACTCCCTGCGTTGGCTTGAATGCCCTTTTCAGCCCACCCCTACCCCCCCCCCCCGGTTCAGAGACACCCAAAGGACACTGTGTTATTTATTGCTATGTCCTGTTACATTTCAACCTCAAAAGGCAGCTCTCCCCCCTCTCCTTTTATCTTGTTGTCCGTTAGCGACATTTCAAGGCTCTGTCTGAAGCGGAGGCAACGCTCCAACTAAAACCAACAACCCAGCAATAACTTCTGGGGGCTAGGAGGATTTCTGGTGGTGGTTTTGGGCGTTTTAGTGCTGCTTTTTCCCTCTCTCCCCTTTCCAGAGTCCTCTCTCTAGCCACGTGCATGCCGGGGCGTCCTCTGGCACCAAGCTGTTAACGTGTTAAAAAGTACTGTAACAGATGAAGCAGCAGAACCTTCCAACTGGTGGGATATATGAAAATTGTATGTAACACACACCTTCTCCCCATTTGTTTGTAGCGCTGTGCAGGAAAAAAAAGGAAATAAAAAGTGTATTTGGAGGCGACGGGGGAGAGGTGACACAGTTTACAGAATGTTGAAAAGAAAAAAAAAAGCATCTATGCCTTCTGGATTTTTTTTGTGTTTTTCTTTTCTTTTTTTTAAAAAAAAACCTTCCTTGGAGAATAAATTGGATCATATCTCAGAGCAGACACTCCCCATATTTTCTTTTCCTGTAGTACGTAATAGCATGATACTCATTGGCATCAAATGGTACACATTTTCAACAACATAACTTGGCTATGTGACTTTTTTTTTTTTTTTTGACAAGCAAAATGTCAAAGAGTGTGTTGCCTGGGCAGCCATAAGTATTGTAAATGTGTGCGGCAGAGAGGACCGTGTTGGTAAGAAACATAGCTGTCAACGTTTCCCTTTTTAAAGGGAAATTCTCCTATTCCGAATAGGATTCCTCGCAATAAAGGGAAAAGTTGACAGCTATGGTAAGAAATGAGTTTGGAAGCACCTCCTTGCGTGACTTCAAGTCTCACCTTGAAAGCGAGTCTTCTGCTATGCTGGCTGTATTTGAGCTGAAACTCTTAAGCAGGCGTAGGCTGCTCCTCCTATCATCCCTGACCACACACCATGCTGGCTGAGATGAGCTGGAGAGTCCACAACATCTGGAGGTCTCCCAAGTTCCCAATTCCTGCTGTAAACCCTCTGGGCATTTGGAGATACCTTTCTGAGCCGGCAACAGCTCCAATTCCCATCCACTCCTCTTCTGGCTCTGTGCAGGAATTCTGTGAGATCAGATGGTCTGCCCACCAAACGCACTCTCGCTTTTCTTCTTCTTCCCAATAGAGAATGCCAACAGGGATGTTACTACTTTGTGCCACTCTTCAGAGACATATATCATTAACATTTTATGTACTTAAAACTAGATAATGTATAATTTATGGCTATGACTCTTGTGCTAATCATGGATATTATGAAAATCCAATTATAAACATAAATCAAACCAGTGTCCACTGTGTGGTTGGAAACAAGGGGGCTGGAGGGGAGGTTCTGTGTCAGCCTAAGGAGGTGCTTGTAGCAACCATGTAAATGCCCACAATTCTTTTCCTTGGCCGTGTTCTTAGGACTAAACCAGAGGGGCTGTTTCCAAGTCAAAACCGGAGTCAGCTGAGCTTTGGCTCCCATAGCTGTGGAAGTGCAACGGCTTTTGTGCAATCGTGGAAAGTGGCGTGTGCCCCAAACGCTGTGCTAGTAAACCAATGAGTGTCAGAGCTGGGCGGCATATTGCTAAATTGTCTGAAACCAGTATGGCGTCGGATCGCGATACCAGTTTCAGACAATTTGAGCTGGCAGTACATTGCTCCGGCTCAAATTGCCTGCAGGCAGACGGACGACCTGAGAAGATTCTCAGCGGGCACCTTTTCAGGCTGTGTCGTCCTGCCTGCCTGTGCCTTTGAGGAAGCCCCCTGCCCCTGAAGCTCATGCAAGCCAGAACGGTATGGGGGCTCACTCAGCTTGGGGGGCAGAAGGAGCCCCTCTGGCTCACATGAGCCTGAGCGGTATGGGGGCTTCCTCAGTAGGGCTGGTGACGCAGCCAAGATACATTCCAGACACTCTGGTATATCAGCATATAACGATATTTAGCTGCTGATACGTCACAATGTTGAAAACCAGGTATCGCCCGGCCCTACTATCAAATCTAGCAACTGCCTTCAATTTGCAGTGATGTGTTTACTGTTCAGTGTGCTTGTTTTCCCCGCTGTAGCTTTCTTAATGCTCTCCCTGCTCCCACGAAAGAGAATATGTCACCTAAGGTCAAAACCAAACTTCCCATTGATTCGTATTTGGGAACCATGAAGCACAGGGGTTTCAATTCTGATGCAGTTTGGAGTCCAAAGACAAGCCTTACCTTTACCAAATATTATTCCCTTGTATGTGGTGGCAAAGATACTGGCTGAGTCTAGGACAGCACAAAAACAGTTGGCATTTGCTGCCCTTGAAAGTATCTTGGTCTCTTGCGAGGTCCTATTCTACCATAATAAGCAAGAGTTCCTTGAAAGCTCATAACACTAAGCTCTGCTGAATGCTTGAAGTTTCTGTATGGTTAAAAGGCTCACCAGCCACATGTGATTTCCCTTTTCCTATGACGCCTCGGTTCGTTCTTCCTTTTTAAAACCTTGCTAAACTGAATAAAATGGCAAATAACTTTCCGCAGGCAGGCATTCAATAGTCCTGTGTACAGGATTCCTAAGTTCAAAGGCGTGGGTTTTGCTTTGTCTTTAATGAAACTTATTTATGACGTGTATGCTGGCCCTTAGCACGAGATTTTTGTGGAGCTTACAATAAGCAAAAAGCAATTGAACTAAAAAGTGTTAAAGGGAAATGATAGATAACACACACACACACACACACACACACACACACCCAAACACAAATCCCCCAGTGAAAAACTGATTTATTTATTTTTAAGAGACTTGTACGTACATAGCCACTCACAGTAGGATTTTCATACTGGTTGTCACTAAACTTTTGGTCCTGACTTTTCCTCCCCAAGGAGCCCAGGCTGGCAAACAAAAAAGCAGCAAAACCAAAATAAATAAAAGCATTAATATCTGAAAACATTTGTAAATGTTCATATATTCACAAAATAATAATTTCAAGGTGGCTGAGAACAGTTTCAGATATCAGTTGTTCAGCTGAACAGGAATGTTGAATGTTTTTAAATTCCTCCTGTCTCTTAAAAGGGGATGGGACCAAGACCACCTCACCAGGAAAGGCCATACAAAAATGATGAACTGCGGCTGAAGAGGCCTGTCACAGGTCAGTGCTAACCAGACAGCAGTGACATCAGCAACAGGGTCTCTCCGGCCCATTACAATAGTACCTTGGATCCTGAACCCCTTGGAACTTGGATGTTTTGGCTCCTGAATGCCACAAACCCGGGAGTGAGTGTTCCAGTTTTTGAACGTATTTTGGAAGCTGAACGTCCGACGGGGCTTCCGTGGCTTTTGATTGATTGGCCGCAGGAGCTTCCTGCAGCCAAACAGAAGCTGTGCTTTGGTTTCCGAATCTTTTGGGAGTCAAATGGACTTCCAGAACGGATTCCGTTCGACTTCCAAGGTACGACTGTATAGGACTTGAGATGGTTGTGCAATGCACTACTGTGCCAGCAGTTGCCAAAGCAGCAGATAAAAGAGATTAGGGTTGATGGGAAGGAGGAGGGGTTCACTGTCGAGAGGTTAATAGAAGGGACCGCAATGATGCTTCAAGTTCCTTGCACCTGCCAAGATGGGAATTAGTGGTGGGTTTATCCTTGCATGGGCACAGCACATCTGAGGTTCATTTCCCTAAACTGTAAGGCTGCATTTTAATTGGTGTTCGCGTTAGGAACCAAAGTGCCATGATTGTATAGCAGAACTAAAACAAGTACAATAATTGTTGTTGTTTAGTCGTCTCCAACTCTTCGTGACCCCATGGACCAGAGCACGCCAGGCACTTCTGTCTTCCAATGCCTCCCGCAGTTTGGTCAAACTCAAGCTGGTAGCTTCGAGAACACTGTCCAACCATCTCGTCCTCTGTCGTCCCCTTCTCCTTGTGCCCTCCATCTTTCCCAACATCAGGGTCTTTTCCAGGGAGTCTTCTCTTCTCATGAGGTGGCCAAAGTACTGGAGCCTCAGCTTCAGGATCTGTCCTTCCAGTGAGCACTCAGGGCTGAGTTCCTTCAGAATGAATAGGTTTGATCTTGCAGTCCATGGGACTCTCAAGAGTCTCCTCCAGCACCATAATTACAGGTCCTTTTAGAAACTGCAGAAAGCAAGCACCATAGCCAGTGAGCCATTTAACCTCTCTCTCTGCCTGTCTTGGCATGTGTGTTCATCGTACCAAAGAAAACGCTTGTTTTAGAAATACCGTCATTCCACAAGTTTTAATAAATTGAAATAAAAGAATTAAGCTTCCTTTTTTTTTAGGAGAGCTGCAACACCACACGGTTCTAGAGTTGTTAATTGTGAGTTTCCCGTCTCATGAAGGAGCATACCTTAATTGAAATGCTGTGAGCCAGCATAAATTTAATAGGCACTTGTAATCAAAATTCATCCAGTGCCCCTTTAACCTCATTGTGTTCTTTGAACACCGGGGTGCTGAACAGACCCTACTATTGAAGAAGTGGGCTGTGGTGGCAGTTGCCCATTACTGGTAGGGCTGAAGGCAAGGAGGCTACCAGTAAGGTAAAGGTAAAGGTACCCCTGCCCGTACGGGCCAGTCTTGACAGACTCTAGGGTTGTGCGCCCATCTCACTCAAGAGGCCGGGGGCCAGCGCTGTCCGGAGACACTTCCGGGTCACGTGGCCAGCGTGACATTGCTGCTCTGGCGAGCCAGAGCCGCACACGGAAACGCTGTTTACCTTCCCGCTAGTAAGCGGTCCCTATTTATCTACTTGCACCCGGGGGTGCTTTCGAACTGCTAGGTTGGCAGGCGCTGGGACCGAGCAGCGGGAGCACACCCCGCCACGGGGATTCGAACCGCTGACCTTTTGATCGGCAAGCCCTAGGCGCTGAGGCTTTTACCCACAGCGCCACCCGCGTCCCGAGGCTACCAGTAGGTGGCGCCAGAGATGGAAGCTTGTACCTTCCAGATCATGTTGGATTGCATCTTAACTCCCTGATGTAGCCCAAACCTCCTATCCTGGCCTGCCCTTACTTTCTGCAGTCTTAGTAGGTTTGGGGGAAAGCCTTTATCCCTCTGACCCTAATGAGAGATTCCAGGAAAGCCCATCGCTATCACTGAGCTGTGGGTCTTCCCTATAAAATGAATGCCTTCTTAAGTGCAGAAGTAGGAAATCTGAGAGAGTGGAGTGGAATTAATGGGTATTTAATTGGCCCAACAGAGGAGGAGGAGAAATAATAATAATAATTAATAATAATTTATTTTTTGTACCCCGCCCATCTGGCTGAGTTTCCCCAGCCACTCTGGGTGGCTTCCAACAAAGATTAAAAATACATTAAAAACTTCCCTGAACACTGTACTTCATTAAGGCTAACTGAGCGTTCTGGGAAATTGACAATGCAAAGTTACTGAAGAACGTTTTACTGGCAAACCCCATTAAAGAGAAACATCCCGAAGAAGGTGCCTAGGCTTATTCTGCCTTATTGTCTCAACCAGTGGTTGAATTTCGCCGCGGAACATTTAATAAATAC